CGCACTTGATTACTTCGCCATCAAGACTCCAGTAGATTTTTGAGGATAGTACTAAGTAGTGTGTCGGCGTCTGTGGTTTAGGTGTTACGAACGCGCTTTGTAATGCCGGGGTGCTGGGTTTGATCCCAGCTGCTGGCCTGGCGCCTTGCGTTGGTTTCGACAGTGGTATCGAAAAGCCGACCGTCCAGGAGCAATGACAAACTACTAAGTAGTGTCTGCTGTTAATTGCATGAATTATTTTACCGTAAGGATGTGTACTAGTAAAAAGAGGTAAAGTAACGATCCCTTGTCACGCCTTTAGGCGCACTGGGCATTTGGAAAGGGCACCCATATTTTTACAGACCAATCGGAAATAGGTGGGTAATGTGGTCAGCATTACACCGGCTGTCGTCACTTCCCCAGGACTGCCATCCTGGTACCCATTTTAGGCTGGGTCGACCTGCGACGCCGCATACCATGATAATAAATCCACGCAGCCAGCAGTGAGTTTCGATCGCGGTACTTTGGAATTACGAGTCGGTCTCGCCACGCCTAAGCCACAAGGAAATACTATATGCAGTAAAATACTCAGTCGCGCTCTCAGGCGCGCCCACTGTTAGGACACCGTATATGGAAGTGGGTGGTGGTTCCAGTTGATGCACGACAGTCTGGGTGTCTGGTGTTTTGATTGTTAGCATGGGAGTTAGGTTTTGATTTCGGTGGCATTAAGTTTTGTTAGTTCGCCGATTGATGCTGCGCATCAGCGAGAGCGGCGGGTTTGTACTGATGTCGCAACAAGCAAGAAAATACCAGAAAATACTTGGAGCTCGATAGCATGATTCAGTCTATAATAGGGAATGCTTGGAGTGCATATGCTAAGATATACAAATCGATATGTGAATGGATACATGGCGCCACGTTCAAGAGGTTATAAAAGACAGACATTGAAAGCAATAGAGCCAATGGAAAACAATGCATTACATTTTAACGCTGTGTATTAACATCTATTATAAAAATCGGTAAAACCAAGATTAATATAGTGCTAGACTTATATATACTATATAGGATAAATAAAAAAGAATCGATAATTAGGTCAAGCGGTATATATTGCTACACTTTTATGATTATATAGTAATATAAAAAAGTGATTAGATCAAGGCTTATATGGTGCTAAATTTATATGGGTTAGATAGTGAAATGTATAAATACGATAAAACCAAGGGGACATGGTGCCAGACTTAAATATGTTGTTTTTCTTCTTATTTCGTTCGCCTGAAATAAGTTGTCTATATCAGCAATTTGTTTCTTGTATACATTTCACTGTCGTTGTTAGTTCATTCAGTGTTCCATAGAGTTTACGTTCCACTGTTGTTCTTTCTGGCCAAAAGGTTTGCTTTAATGTGTCAAATTCTGTGCAGTCCTTGAGTTCATGCTTTGCTGTCTGGGGCATCTTTCCACAAGTGCACAAGGCTGATACGCCTATCTTTAATTTTGTGTACATGTGGTTACGTAATCAGTTGTGCCTTTTCTGAGGTGGAGGATAATTACTAGTTCTGATCTGTCCATATTAAAATAGTCGTCTTGTGCTGGGGCTTGTGGTTTCCTGATCGATTTAATGATTCATTTTTGGTGGTATGTGACTGGTACATCCGGCTGCACTTTTGTCGCACCTAAATATGTTGTATAGTAAAATATTTTTAAAATTAATTCTCAGGTCATTGGGTAAATGGCACTAATTTTTTTTTTTTCGGATTATGTAGTGAAATATAAATAACGATTAGTTCACTGAGTATGTTGCGCTAATTTTATATATATATGTATATATATATATATATATATATATATATATATATATATATATATATATATATATATATATATATATATATATATATAAAATTCAAGGGTCTATAGTGTTAGGTCGGCCCAATGGCAAAGTCGATGCGAACGCTTCGTAATGCTGGGATGCCAAGTTCGATCCCAGCTGCGGGCCACGCACCTTGCGTTGGTTTCGACAGTGTTATCTAGAAAGCCGACCGTCCAGAGGCAATGGAAAACTACTGGATGTAAACTTGCCTAGAGAAACCACACAGCAGCCAGGGGCTGTTGGGGTTGGTTCTGCAACGTCCTGTAAAGGATACGCAACTAACCTATAGTGTTAGACGTATTTAGATTATATATTTTAAATAATAAAGCAAAAGGATTAAAGCGATGTGGTACTAGACTTGCATAGGTTATACAGTAAAATGCAAATAAAAATCGATAAAAGCAAGGATTTATAATGAAATAATTATATACCTTATACATTTAAATATAAAAGCCGCGAAAGAATGCGTTGAAAATGAACAAATAATACATTTACAAAATATGATACAATGGCATTTTTGTCTAGAAAGAATCACGTCGGCACTGACCACAAAGTAATAATTAAAGCAGCGATAAGAAAAAAAAAAATAATGCTTAGAAAAGTTCTAGAGCCCAGCATTGAAACAAAAATGTCTTTACATAGTTTTCTTTCAAGATTTGGGGCGGGCAGAACATTTACTCTACATTCCAATTTTCTTCCGGGGTTGGTGGAAAAAAGGGGGGGGGGGGGTGGTAACTGGGGAGAGTGGCGGCCCCCAAGGTCTGGCTCACCAGTATGGTACACAACCAGCTCAGCTTCAAACAGTGTTTATTTTTTCTCCACATCTAACCACAGCCTAGGGTGACCCTGAACAAATCGAGCTTTGACTCCAGGCTCGACAGGACAATTATCGCACACTTACGTGTAAGTATACGTTTTGATAATATCTTTAAGTCAAGTCGCCGTGATGTAGTAGTTAGACGCTCGTCTGTGGATCAGAAGGTGATGGGTTCGCGTTGTCGCGGAACCGGACATTTTTCAAAAACGACTTTGACCCCTAGGTCGATTCAGCCTTAAGTGGGTATCAGGTACAAGTTCTGGGAAGTAAAGGTGGCCGGTGTGATGTTGACCACTTCACCCACAAAGTGCCGATTGATCTAAAAAATGTAGGTCTAGCCCTACATGCCCTGTACGCATTAGGGCGTGGACAAAATGTCATTTACTTTTACTTATGTTCGATATGGACTGTAATTCTTTTCTAAAAATTCGCCCACAAATCACAGACAGCATGGATGCTCCTCGCTATACTGAACGCCACAGTTAACACTTGGCAGGCAGAGGATGGCCTGCCTTCCTACCCCAGCTGCTTAACGGTCAACAACGCACATTACCTGTCAACAACAAATATAACATACCAATATATCTAGCAAATTAACATCCAATGTAACGTATCATCTAACATTATTTTATGAAAAAAAATATTTTGCAATATATATATATATATATATATATATATATATATATATATATATATAAAGAAAAAAAAAAGAAGAAGAAGAAGAAGAAGAAGAAGAAGAAGAAGAAGAAGAAGAAGAGAAGAAGAAGTGAAAACGAAGACGAAGAAGAAGAAGCAGGAAGAAGGAGGAAGAAGAATAAGGATGAAGAAAGAAGAAAGAAGGAAGAAGAAACAATGATGAAGAAGAAGAAGAAGGAAGAAGAAGAAGGAAGAAGAATGATGAAGAAGAGAAGAAGGAAGAAGAAGAAGGAAGAAGAAGAAGGAAGAAGAAGAAGGAAGAAGAAGAAGGAAGAAGAAGAAGGAAGAAGAAGAAGGAAGAAGAAAGAAACTAATTTTTATGACTGATCATGAATCCCTTGCTCCACATACGGGAAGCCGCTGTGGTGTAGCGACAAGACGCTTGCCTGCCGATCGGAAGGTCGTGGGTTGAGGTCTTGACAGAGGTGTCTATATTTTTTTTAAATGGCCTTGGTTCCTAGGTTGACCCAGCCTTAATTATGTACTAAGTAATGTCTGATTATACACTCATCATCCCCCCCCCCCCACCCATACGTTCCTCCTTGCCAGATCCACACGCAGTCCTTCGTTCACACTTTCTTTCACATGCTTTTTCATTTAACGTCGTTTCTTCTATCAGCATTTGTTCAAAAATGACCTTAATAAAATGTCCTTTGTCGAGTTCGAGTGTGTATGTAGCTAGCGCTTTTTTATCCAGAACTTGACCATATCACCCATCGAGTGCTGATTGGTGTATAAATATAGGTGCATCCCTGTATGCCCAATGCGCCTGAAGACATGGAAAAACCTCCTTTACTTTAGTATATCAAGACTGTTCAACAAAGTTTACTCAGGAGCGATAATTTTGAAAATAAGGATCGTAACGGATCATGGGACCGAGCCATAGTATAAAAAGATCATTAAACAAAACAGCTGGACAATGATCCGCCGGCCACTTGCTAGGCCTTCGCGGGCAAGATATAGTCCGCAGACCGCCAGTTGAATCGCAATGAAATATATTTTTCAGCACGGTGGTCCTATGCCATTAAATTTGCTAACTTTATATTTCCTTTCTATGACATCACTGAGATCAGCAAGCAAGATTACAGAAAGACAAAGCCAACAAAAGGAGAAAACTCAGAGCTCACGAAGACAACATCGAAAGACAAAAACAACGTCAGGAGAATGGAAGCGTAAGTTATCCATGTTTAGTTGGACTACTAGTTTTAGCTGCAGAGGCCTGGTACTGACTATAATTTTAAAATCTGCAATGAATATATCTACACGATTTGTAACTAAGTATTTATTCGTAATTAATTTTTAAAATGTTATGCTCAAAAGTAGTTTTCTTGAAACAAGGTTAAAACTCTTAGAAGACCATTATTAATCCAGTCATGCACTTGTGGAATGCACTTTTTTAAAATTCAAATGCCCCAGCCTTGCTCTTGCCAGGGGCCGCAATTTAGCCCGGCCATAAATATGGTCAAATGGCTAAACGCGGTTTCCGGAAGCTATCCACGGTGATCCTCATCCACATGGTGGTACTTTGTGTCATCTGGTGTTTATCGCTTGTGTGCTATCTTAGTAGGGTAAAATGTACTACTACTCAGAAGACCGTTAGTGTAGTGCCAGCAAACTACAATGTAGCCAGTTTAGATATTGTATCGCCTTTAGTCCCAGAGAGTTCATATCAAATTTGGAAATGTGTCTAGCATCTCAGTTTATGAAGCGATGTCCCGGGTTTCTCTAGAAAACACAGAAACTCGTATCTATAATAACTTATCTACCTGTCTTTGTGAATGTCTACTGATTTGCTTTTTTGCCTCTGAATGTCTAAAGACTTATCTACCTGTCTTTGTAAATGTCTACTGATTTGCTTGTATGCCTCTATGAATGTCTAATAACTTATCGACCTGTCTCTTAGTGAATGTCTACGTATTTGCTTTTTTGTCTATATGAATGTCCAATAACTTATCTTCCTGTCTTTGTGAATGTCTACTGATTTGCTTTTGTGCCTCTATGAATGTCTAATAACTTATCTTCCTGTCTTAGTGAATGTCTACTGATTTGCTTTTTTGCCTCTATGAATGTCTAATAACTTATCTTCCTGTCTTTGTGAATGTCTACTGATTTGCTTTTTTGCCTCTATGAATGTCTAATAACTTATCTAACTGTCTTTGTGAATGTCTACTGATTTGCTTTTATGCCTCTACGAATGTCTAATGACTTAACGACCTGACCTTGTGAATGTCTACTGATTTGTTTTCATGCCTCTATGATTGTCTGCTGACTTATTTACCTGTCTTTGTATGACCTATCTGCATATCTTTCGAACTTTTGGCACATTTTAATCTTTCCCGACGATACTGTTATGTCTTGAATCATGTGGTGTTCATAATATTTGTAGTGTTGTTTCGTGAATTCAAATATTGTTAACAGTATTCATAGTGTTATGCCTTAAAATCAGTGTTAGTAGGTTTCGGAGTGAAATGTCTTTAAATCATAGAGTTAATAGTAATAATAGTGGTATGTCTTGAAATCATATATTGTTCATAGTTTTCATTGTGTTACAACTAGAAATCATACATTGTTTAGAGCTTTCATTGTGTTATGTCTAGAAATCATACATTGTTCATAGTTTTAATTAGGTCATGTTTTGAAATCATGCATTGTTAATAGCTTTCATTGTGTTATGTCTAGAAATTATACATTTCTCATAGCTTTCATTGTTTTATGTCTTTAAATCATACATTGTTCATAGTTTTCATTGTGTTATGTTTTGAAATCAGTCTGAATTTCCACCTACTATTAGCCAGCAATAGGCTAATACTATAAAAAGAAAGTAGTCATGCATTACGTTTAAAGACATGAATTAATAAAACATGTTTTGAAGACGGAGAAATTACATCATGAGTGGAAAGAGTCATTATTAAAGTCCATTTTTAAGGAAGGAGACAGGTATAAATGTTAAAATTATAGAGGCATATCAGTATTATTTATAAGCTATTGGCTTTACTGCTAAACAGGCTAAAACCATACATCAAAGACATATTGGGAGATTACCAAGCGGGTTTCTGACAGAACAGATTCATGCGACAAACAGCAGAGCAAAATTGGGAGTATAGTAAAAAGGCGTATGATAATTTACAATTACCTTTGGTTGACACTTTTAGTATAGTAACATATAAAGGCAGAAAGTCAGACCCTTAAAAAAAACGTATAGTATAAAGCAAAGTGATTCTCTATTCCTATTTCTTTACAACCGGAGAAAGTTGTAACAAGAGTGTACTATAGGAGAAACTAAAAGATACTAGGTTATGTGGTTGACATTGATAGTGTTAGAGAAAATTAACTAGACACTGTTAAAACACTAACTCTCTTAAAAGATGCGGCTCACTAAGTGGTACTAGTTATCAGTCCAGATAAATCAAAACTGGTAGGAAACGTATACAAACTCGACCACTTATAAGTCGATAATATAAAAATCAAATGAACGGAGACATAAGTACTTGGGTACACACTTCAACTGCTCAAACATGCTGAGAGAAGATTAGCAATCTAAAATACGATCTGGAAATAAAATGTAATATGCCCTTCAACATCTTCTAGAGTAAAAGTCACCATCACGCCACACCAAGATCAAAATATATGAAAGTTGACAAGACCAGTTAGTTTTAAATGGCTCTGAAATTAGGAGCACAACTAAAAGAGATGAAGACTTTTTACACATTTTCGAAAACAGAGTTTTACAACGAATCTTTGAAACCATCAGCGATGCAAACAGCGACGAATGTAGAGTGAGAAGCAACAACGAAATTCATCATCTGTTTAAATTACCATTTATCATTGGCATCATGCTGACCACATCACCCATCTTGTACCGTTGGTCTATAAAATATAGGTCTAGCCCTATATGCCCTATACGCCTAAAAGCGTGGAAAAGGGTCCTTTACTTTACTTTTTATTGGCATCATGAAGGCTAATGGATTGGAATGGCTGGGGCATATTGAGAGAAAAACAGATAATAGAAATAGAAATGTAAAAACTGGGAGCTGAATGGTCGTAGACCACAAGGCAAATCAAGAAGATGATGGCGAGATAATATCCAGAGAGATCTACAAACATTTAGTGTCAGCACTTGGAAAGAGAAGGCAAACAAGAGAGAGAGGAGGGGAGGTGGGTTATATCTGCAGCTATGAACCTCAAGGGGTCGGAATGCTGAAAAAGAAGAAGAATATTTTATTTCACAGTTATTAATCATTGTTTTGTTATTATTCACATTAAGCAGAGCCACCAAGAACAAACACAGAATTTATTTTCATGCTATACTGAAACTGGGGTGAAGATACACAATGACGGAGTATCCAGTTCGTTAAAAACATCCACGTTGAGACCTAACTCGACGAGAGATAAAGGGTCAGAGGAAATCTCTGAACAGCTGGGACCAAGTTCCGATAATGAGAAAAGTACGAATGGATCACAACCTCAAGCAATAAATAAGTGAGTATTTTTTTTTACACAAACATACGACTGAGTGAGCATATATATATATATATATATATATATATATATATATATATATATATATATATATATATATATATATATATATATATGTGTATATGTTAAAGGGCGAACCTGGGTACTAGTGGGCGTGTCCGGAGTACCGTGAAGATAGCCCAGATAATAACTCATATCTTAGAAATTAGAACAAGAATCGCTATGGCAAACAGGGCTTTTATCAAGATGCAAAAGTTCTCACCTTTAAGAAAATGCAGTGAGAACAAGTGTTTTAACGTTTCATGTAGAACATGCGTTGTTTTATTCATAGGAAGCAGGGGGGAAAAAGACAGACACGCTGAAAAATGCAAAGAATGTCATGGAAGGACAGACAAACAAACGATCAGTCCTCATTGAGAGAGGTGAAAGTCGTAAACTTATTATACAATTGTCGAGGACAGTCAATGTTTTTTGGACATGGTATGAGAAAGAGTGGACTCGAGAACTTGGTGACAACTGGTAAGATTTTTAAACACAGAGCAAGTGGAAGATAAAGAGATGAAATGAAGAACCTTTTGTGTGATAAATCCATGTCATTGGAGGTTAGGCCAAGAATTCTTGGCATGTACATAGAACCAGTCTCAACATTCGGCTGTGAATCCTGGACAATTATTCAACAGGTCGAAATATTTCTTGAGGTCTGGGATAGATGGTATTAGAGAAGAATCCTCAGAATCCCTTAGAAAGTTTAGAAGAGCTACCCGGATGTTTTGAAATCCCTAAAGAATGCTACAGCTGAATAACTGCTTCAAAACTATGACTTAATAATACAATTCACTTAACGGTCCGTCACAAACTGGTCGATAAAACATAAAACATTTACAGCTAGCGCCCGTTGTCACACGCAAGTCCACTCTGGTCCGTTTGTCTGTCCATAGCTCGCTCTGTCCAGCGTTTTTGTTGAACTCACTCGCTCCACATTTCTCGTGGCTATTCCGCATGTAGAGTTCAGTCGTCATGACTTTCCCTTGTTTATAGTGATAGTCTAACCTTGAGGTCGTGTCTGGGATCACAGAGGTGACAAACATAAACATCCCTACCTAGTATCGCCGTAGGCTAAACTAGCATCTGACAAGGACACTGCAAGCTCAGCTACCACAAGCATTAAATACAGATTTTATAGTCTCCACAGTGTGCCTAAACAAGACCACACACACCTGAGCTAATTCTGCAGACCTGTCCACTCTACCTATAACTTTGAAAGGAAACCACGCCTCAAGAGCAAAGTGTGCAGTAAGCTTTGTGGGACCGTGAAGGAGCTGCTGCTAACATGCTATTTCATAGAGGCAACCTACCCGATGATCTGTTCTAAGCATAGGAAACCGAACGCAAAGAAGAAGAAGTACAAGAACTAATTTACTCGCAACGTGGGTTCCAGTGCCTCATTTTGTGTGGACAAATAATAGACCGAATATACCCAAAGAAGCATTTCGTTAAAGTCAGCTAATTAGAAGTGTTTCTAAGAAGTCAGAATGCATCTGTCCGAGAAGCAAGGAACCAACAGTCTGCATACAAATAAGATCTACAAAAAAGATGTAAACGCAAAATTCAAGCTCTTGAACAAGATTTAAGTCCAGAACTGAACAAGCAGCTAGAACTGAACAAACAACCAGAACTGAACGAACAACTACAACTGAACGAACAACCAGCATTCAAAGAACAATCACAACTGAACGAACAATTAGAACTGAACGAACAACTAGAACTGAACGAACAACTAGAATTGACAGAACAAACAAAACTGAACGAACAACCATAACTTAGAGAACAATCAAAACTGCCCTCCAATCAGTTGTATTTTTAAGAAAAAAAAATCGAAACGTTTAAACCAAACAACGCACCATGTGTGTGTATTCATATATGCACCAGTTAACAAATTCTTTTATTTCTAAATGTTATGTTTAGTCAGAGCATCACTCAACAACACAAGTGACTCTTACAAGGGATGCTAATTTGGGCCCTGTGGATGTTGTATAGTCGTTACTTTGTTGAACTAATAATTGACTCACTCTTCAGCTATGAACTTCTGGATGGAACGAGTTGAACTGAATTGAGTCAAGAATCAACATCACAACACTCGGGGCATGGCCACTCTTGCTCCGTTCTCATCCTTAGCAGCCAGCGCAAAGTTCCAATACTGATGGTACCGGTTACAATCTGGTTACATGTCCATCTTGCCATGGATGGAACCAGGCAAGTTGGGAAGTCGTGAAGCGTTTTCTAAGGCACAATGTGTTTAAATGTTTTAGCTTTTTCTCTTGACCACAATTACTGCAGGTTTAGCGCAGTTACTGAAGAGACAAAGCCATTAGCAAAAACCGAAGTGATGAGTGGCATCTTGAATGGGGAAGTACACAAAGAGTGTCCGCAGGCCAAGTCAACGATATATCTGTACATTGTTTCTGGAAACACAGGTGAGAATTATGTTTCAGACACAGATACTATGTTTCCCTGAAAAAGGCAGTATCTTATATACATTGGTTGTGCTTTTTTTTTTTTCGTTCTAAAAAATGTACTAGTGCTTTTATTTAAGGGATGTCTTTTTTCCCCAGATACAAAAATTTAGGATTATTCATGTACACAATTCTACATTTATTCATGTACACAATTCTACGTTTATTCATGTACACAAGTCTACATTTAATTCATGTACATAATTCTACATTTAATTCATGTACACAATTCTACATTTATTCATGTACACAATTCTACATTTATTCGTGTACATAATTCTACATTTAATTCATGTACACAATTCTACATTTATTCATGTACACAATTCTACATTTATTCATGTACACAATTCAACAATTATTCGTGTACACAAGTCTACATTTATTCATGTACACAATTCTACATTTATTAATGTACACAATTCTACATTTATTCATGTACACAATTCAACAATTATTCATGTACACAAGTCTACATTTATTCATGTACACAATTCTACATTTATTCATGTACACAATTCTACATTTATTCATGTACACAATGCAACAATTATTCATGTACACAATTCTACATTTATTCATGTTCACAATTCTACATTTATTCATGTACACAATTCTACATTTGTTCATGTACACAATTCTACATTTATTAATGTACACAGTTTTACATTCATTCATATACCAGTCGTGTCACCTTTTTCTGGAACATCGTCATAACTGCAAATCCTGAATTTCAGATTTAATGAGTTTCACGTAGAACCATTGGTTCACAGTCTCTCAATTGTAGCTCACGTAGAACCATTGGTTGACAGTCTTTCAAGTCTAGCTCACGTAGAACAATTGGTTTACAGTCTCTCAATTCTAGCTCACGTAAAACCATTGGTTCACAGTCTCTCAATTCTAGCTCACGTATAACCATTGGTTCACAGTGTCTCAATTCTATCTCACGTAGAACCATTGGTTGACAGTCTCTCAAGTCTAGCTCACGTAGAACCATTGGTTGACAGTCTTTCAATTCTAGCTCACGTAGAACCATTGGTTCACAGTCTTTCAATTCTAGCTCACGTAGAACCATTGGTTGACCATCGTTTAATTCTAGCTCACGTAGAACCATTGGTTCACAGTCTTTCAATTCTAGCTCACGTAGAACCATTGGTTGACCATCGTTTAATTCTAGCTCACGTAGAACCATTGGTTCACAGTCTATCAAGTCTAGATCACCTAGAACCATTGGTTCACAGTCTATCAAGTCTAGATCACCTAGAATCATTGGCTCACAGTCTCTCAAGTCTAGCGAGGGTCTAGCTGAAGATCTTTACTAGGGTTTAGTTTAGGGAGGAGAGGCAGGATGGGTACAGCTTCATCAGAAGCACACTCACGAATGGTAACGGTGCTGGAAAAGGGGTTTGGAGGAGGGGGAGGGGTTAGTTCTTATTATCGGCGAATTTCATTACATGAATTACATTCAAACAGCATAGCGCACCATGTAGAGAGGTTGCTCTAAGAGATGGGGAAGGCCAAGAAAGTCGTCTTAAAGTCAATGCCGTGTGGCGTTGGTAGTCTTGTCTTTCCATAACCTTCTGCCCTTCACAATTTCACAGTTCTTGGGTATCATAAATCTATTTTCACACTGTTTATTGACACACACGGACAACGAAACCGTTACCGTGGTATTCGGACAGTGGTACGAGAGGGGCGCGATGAAAGTGATTGGGACCTTATCATGTGCTATTTTATGTAGACAATAGAGGGGGCACTGCTGGCAATTAATATAGCTCTTTCTGCCCTAAGCAACGCGGGCTTAGCTACTGCCTTATTGTAAGAACAAAAAACCAACTTTGTGTGACCACAAGATTTATTTGTGCTTTGAATGTGCTAAAGAAATCTGGCACATGTATGCATGTTAGAAAGGAATATATATCCACACATTTTTTTCCATATTAGTTTACATCGTTTATGGATAACTGCCCCCATATCATCTGGTATTTATGATAAATTAAAAATTAAAGAGAAAAGAAGACGAGAAAAAAAAAAAAAAGATTATTGCTAAAATACAAATATTCCACCAGATATGGAAGTTGAGTTGACCCACATGCAAGAACACCTGTACCCTAAACTTCGAGATCACTTCAGTCAGCGAGGGCACGAGCTGAGGGTTCTAGATCTTCACTGGGGATTTAGAGACACTGTCTCGGATGACCACGGCATTCCGCGAGTTCTCCATCAGGCAATCAGCAAGGCACACCACTCGGAGTTTGGGATTAATTTTGTGGTTAGTTTGCTGTTTACATGTGTAATGTTAATTTCTTATGTTCCGATCCTTGATCATAGGAATAACTCTTTCAGTCATCACCATCATCTTCAGACATGTTGCTATTAAGCGTCATGGGAAGCAACAGTGTGTGATCCATTGCATGATGGTAGTAACATGTGTTATAATTTTGTATCGATGTCGTCATCACCATGATAAAGTGTCTTGCCGACCGGCATGGGCGATCATGCCTCTCCACAGTTTGCGATCTGCAACTGCCTATATCAGTTCGCGTGTGGACATCACTCCATGCCATGACAAAAGGCTTTCAAGAATATTCTAACGCTGTCTTACTCTGTCTCTCTTTCCACAGATCTTTCCAGTAGTCACAACATGTTCCATTTTGCCTCTTCTCATTTCATAACCAACAAAGGATGACTATCTTTTTTTAATGTTGGTTATACGTTATCTTCTATTGCTCGCTTCTTTCAAAACATCTTGGCTGCTCTTCTTAGCTGTCCAGGGAATTCTAAGGATTCTTCTGTAAAACTACATCTGCGAGGCCTAGAGATATTGTTCGGCTTGTTTTATTAATTGTCCAATCTTCGCAGCCGTATGTTAAAACTGGCTCTATGTAACGTGAGAGAATGATTTTCCTAACCTACAATGACACGACTTTATTGCAATAAATGTTCTTCACTTTATTAAAGACGTTTTGGCTTGTCCGATTCCGTTAAAAAAAAAAAAAAATCTTTGTAATACATTTTCCTTCAGACGTTATTCATGTGCCTAGATACTTAAATTAATACAAACACACACACGATATAGAAAGTCAAAAGTGTCATCAATCCATCTTCTCTGGGTGCCACCTTCTACTTTCACATGAGACCTCTTCGTGTGTATGGTCAGTGTTGGTAGTTTTTTGTAGCTGCATTCTAACCAGATGATCAAACCAGATGGTCTTCTGTTACAACATATCCCCCCCCCCCCACCCTTCCCCTCCTAAAAAATATAGAACTAAAACTAAAAATGTTTAATCGAACCTTCAGTTGGACTTTTGCTATACTGCTTCTTCTTGATTAGACTGTCAAACTATATCATTGTCAGTACTGGGAGAATTTTTTTTTGTGTGGATCCATCAAAGGACAGATCAGGAAATGAGAGATTGAAAGGCTCTATCTGAAAATATAAATGTGACTGAATTATTACCTCAAGATTATTATTTTAACACTCCTAGGTTCACAGCAGTTCATTAAGACGAGGAATAGAAGAGAAGTTTTATTACAGTGCACTGAATGTAAAAACTACTTGATGCCCATCTCTAAACATCCTTGCAACTCCTCTCCACCCAGGAGGAGCACCCGGTTGAAAACCACCAAGCCAAGGCGCGACAATGAAACTTTAATTGTACTTTAATTACTACCTTAATGACCTAGTTAACCTTACAATTTGGGACAAAAAAAAGGGGGACAAGCATAACGTTATCTTTTTCAGATTCTGCTAGGACAGAAGTATGGGCACTGTCCTTTGCCACTGGAAATCCCAAAAGAGGAATTAGAGAAGATTCTAAAAGCAGCAACTGAATACAAGAAAGAACAGAAGCAAATAATTAGTGCTGCCATACAGAAAATGGCAGAAGCGCAAGAAGCTGCAACACATGAAGAGATCAATACTTCTATTGATGCTTCGCCAGAAGGTAAGATTACATTGGGTTTACCCGCTATCACTGATGGTGTCCAGTGTGATAGAGACGGTCATTAATGTGGTAAAGTTAGGGTTTATTATCTGATGCATCTTATAAAAGAAACAACAAGGAGCTAGTTACTGACACAGATTTTCCCCCATGAGGGTTAAATAACTTCTTCTTCTTCTTCTTCGCGTTCACCGGCTGTAAACTCCGGCGGAAAGTTCCGGTTGTTAGTCTACTTCTTGACTGCAGTCGTGTTCCAGAACCTGAGTGTTGCGTGTGCATCAGTTTAACAGATCTGACTAATTTGTATGCAGACTGTTGGTTCCTTGCCTCTCTGGCAGATGCACTCTAACTTCGAAGAAAGCTCACAATTAGTCGACTCTTACGACATACTTTGAATGTAGGTCTATTCTTGTTTTCCCCATAACAGGGCTAAAGAAATCACAAGGGGAGATTTATAACTGATTCTATGACTGTGATTACGAAGTATATAGGAACATTGCAGTGATCTTCATTGTTGTTAATTGCTGGCTCGAATGAGTCACCGCATCTTTCCATTCACCAACTGACAAGAACGAGAAAACATGGACGCTGGCAGACGTTCAGAAGTTACACGTACTGTTTATTTTCACTCGCTGATGTTGCAGTCAGTAAATGTTTTAATTACGACAATATCACTCATCAATGCTCTAAACAGTCAATCATACCTTTGTAACATCATAGAATATACACACTTAGCGAAAACAGCAGCTCCCTCCATCCATACGACAGTCATTCACAGCTGGCCACCGTTTCCGTCAGCCGCTATTTTATGCCAGGTAGGCATTGGGAAATCACGCTATTCAGACGTCAACATTCTTCCGAACTTTTTCACACGTACACCTTTCCCTTGGCCTAAACGAGACTGCCTCACAAACATTTTCTTCGCTATTATATAGCCCTCTGATCTGTCCTGTTCTCGAATATTCTGGATAATTTCATTCTCACGAATTCCACCGTTGAAAGTCGTGTCTGGCCCGTGATAATTCGCATTTCACACGAATCCTGCCAGTCAACCTTCATGGTTCACGTGAACAATCATGTTTCACATAAAACCTGACTTTCAGATGTCTCTCATGAAACTCAAGACATAAATCTCGTGTTATCTCAGTCAAAACATTCGCTTTACATTTATTACTGACGTCATCTATCGGGCATAACTTAACGGGGAGAAAATGACTCACTGCAAACATGATAGGCTCTTAGACAGTTGGTCGAGTCTCTGACATCTCGCCTGTCAGGAATAAGCTTTATTTTTGTGGTAGGGCACACTGGGGGCAAGAGGGAATGAACGAGCGGACTGGTATGCTGACAGAGCCTCTGTAGACACAGAACAAGCAACTAGCCAGGCCGATGTTCTTAATGCTCTCAGGGAGACAGGACGAGTAGGTGATTCAGGATGACCACAATGAATTGGCCATTTTGACAAAGACTTTATGTCAAAACAGATGTCGCCAGGTATAACACTATACTGGTAGTCAGAGAAAAATATTAAACAAACACAGAACTGGTGTTATCAGTCGTCACACACTGAGAGAGAATCAAAATATGAGATCCGACCGCTCATACACTTGTCTGACGTAAGATAAGGGTGGTCGGTGTATCAATCAAATAACTAATGCATACAGTTAGTAGCTGTGGTAGCAGTAGTTGTAGTAGCGGTGGTAGCAGTAGCTGCAGTAAAAGTAGTAATAGTAGTGTTAGTAGTAATTATAATATTAAACGTAGTAGTGCCGGCAGCAGTAGCAGTAGTGGTAGTAGTTGTCGTTGTAGCAGTGACAGTAGTAGTGGTAATAGTAGATGTAACAGTGATAGTAGTGAATGCTCAGCCTTAGAGTACATAGATGGCTATATCATGTCTCGAGAAAGCAGAATTATAGGATCCCTAAGGACAACTTCTATAGAGAATCAAAGGTGTGCAGACGATGACGAGGCTGGTTTCTACTACGATATAACGAAGCATGGAAGTAGAGCAAGGGTGATAGGTGTACTAAGGCAGAATGTCAGCGACCGGCGGTGGAAAATCAGTAAGGGAGTTGAGATAACAGAGTAAGCACAAGAGATGAGTTTCGGAGAAGAAGCACGTCAAATATACACAATGGCAACAAGAGTCTTGAAATTCCATACTCTAAATACCCTTTGTTTCGACCCACATGAGCCTCTAGGTCTTTACCCAGCTGAGCCCCTAAGTTTCGGCCTAGCTGAGCCCCTAGGTCTTGAGCCACCTGAGCACCTAGGTCTTGAGCCACCTGAGCACCTAGGTCTTGACAAACCTGAGTCCTTATGTCTCGGCCCAAAAGGCCCTAGGTTTTGATCCAACTGAGCCTCTAGGTCTTGACCCACCTGAGCTCCCAGGTCTTGACCAACCTGATACCCTAGGTCTTGACCCAGGTAAGCACCTAGGACTCCAGCTAGCTGAGCTCCTAGGTCTTGACCCACCAGAGCCCCTAGGTCTCAACCCACCTGATACAGTCACAGTCATTTCTAGTGACTTATGGGATGTGTGTGCTTCACAATTCGACTGATCTTTCCCTCATGTCTAGATGTTACTGTTAACAGAACAAGACAGTCAACACAATAGTATTGTGGCTGCAGCAGCTGGGCCGACGCAAACATTAGCCTTATCTAATCCTGCACAAGATGACAAGGACAAGGCTGCAGAAGATGCTGGCTCAGAAAAGAAACAACGAAAGAGTGTAGTATCTAACAGAGACCAGCAGACGGCCAGGGTAAGGGTGCTTTATTAATATCTACTCCAAAAAAAGGGGAAATCCACAGGACAAGGACAGTTTAATATTTCAGGGGGTGGTAGATAGGCTGCATGCTGTCGAGGGACCTAGGATGCATGCAGTCGTAGGACATAGGCTGCACTCCTTGGTGGAACGTAGGTGGGTTTGGGTTAGGATCAGTTCTATATATTTTTGATTCGTTAAAAGTAACAGAAAACTGGGAAACCCAGTCTTACCACATTCTAAAATGTTTGACTGCCAAAAAGTTTAAAAACAAATCCATTTGTCAATCCACCCAAGAAGCCCAAGACATATACACAAAAACACCACACTAGGATGTTGAATATTGAAATGAGAAAAGACATCACAGCACTTGAGACACTCCCATAAGCGCTCCTCCTCATCTTTAACAGCAAGTAAAGAGTTCCAATTCCGATGGCACCAGTACCCATCTGATTGTATATCCGGCTCCTTATTTCCCCTAGTGTTGAGCGTCAGCCACATTCCATTGTATATCCGGCTCCTTATTTCCCCTAGTGTTGAGCGTCAGCCACATTCCCTTAGTCTCCTCGCAGTACCATTCTCATTAGACCGCAATGATCTACGTGCGCCTCCGCACTGTTCACTCGCTCCCAAAGGGCACCCACAATTGCATGTACCACAGTAGGAAACAACCTGGTATCAGTGAGATCACAACATATAGTTAAGTTGGAGCTTTCCTAACAACGTAGAAGCTGTGTAATGATACCTAGACGTTTTTTAACATTTAGATTTTACGAGACACTGAACAAGAGTTACCCGATACAAAAGCCTTGCGTCAGTGGTACATTCTGGATGAGAACTCTATACCTGCTGTTTACAGACTTCAGAATATCAGGTATTGTACAGCTGCTGTTTAGCATCGCTTCTGTGTATGGGTGTGTGTGTGTTTATGTATATATATATATATATGTGTGTGTGTGTGTGTGTGTGTGTGTGTGTGTTTGTGTGTGTGTGTGTGTGTGTGTGCATTTTTTCCTCTTTTACACATCATAAAATGGTATACATATATATACGTATTATTCTAGAAATAAATGGAAGAATATATACATACACGTATTATTCTAGAAAAAAGGGCTAATATATATACATACGCGTATTATTCTAGAAAAAAAAGGGCAAGTGTATTATTTTTGAAAAAAAATGCAAGTATATATACACATACGTATAATTCTAGAAAAAAGAGCAAGTATTCACTATAAAGTGTCTTTAAAGGTGATGGAACTCAGCACATTGTATCTTTTACAGTTGTGCTGATAAATGATGCAAACAACAGGCGCCAGTATTGCCAGGTGCCGGTGTTGCGTACTGGCATAAAGGCTCAGTGTATGTGCGTGTACATGAGTATATATATATATATATATATATATATATATATATATATATATATATATATATATATATATATATATATATATATATAAAGGCTTCACTTGGAATAACGGTTTTAAATGAACTACGCAGGAAGGTAACCCAAACAGAGCCTCACAACGCAGACAGTTAACCCGTACAGCCTCACACATATGTAAAAGTCGCATGTCTTTTGCGGCGATTCAACCGTGTCAAAAGTAGTATTAACTGCGCACGACATTATCGCGGAACGCAACGGATTTCTTACGGCGATTAGATGGCGTCAAACAAGGATTAACTGCATACGACAAAAATTACCGACACTCGACAATACTCCTGATAGCGCTATTCTCCGAGAGTATCCCCCGCGCCGCTACGCGCGGAGCGGCTAAACTAGATGACTGGGACTCACGAGCAGCAGCTACCGCAGCTCCTGAAGCTTCCTCCAATGTATTTGCTCGTGAGTCCTAGCCATCTAGTTTAGTTCCTACGCGCGGCGCGGGGGATACTCTCGGAGGTGGCACTATAGTCGGCTAATTTCAATATCGGTAAGTACTATAATTCCCTTATTTTCCTCATACTTTCCGTTCCTTATATTTCCCGAGTTACAGCTTTTAAATGTTTGTAGGACAGGACGTAATGAGGCTCTGTTTGGGATTAACTTTCTGCGTAGTTCATTTAGAACCGTTATTCCAAGTAGAGCCTATATATATATATATATATATATATATATATAAATCAATGTTTGTGTGTTTGTGTCACCCCTATAGACTCGGAAACTACTGAACCGATTTAGCTGAAATTTTAAGGATATGTTTGTTGTGATACCGGATTTTGAACTGTCGTGGTTTGAAATTCAACCTGTCACTGTTAGAGATAGGTGACCACAATTTATGCCAAAATATACGCAACTAATATTCATAACTTTAGTGATTTCTAATTATAGCCACGTTAGTAATTGCGCATGCGCCGTATTTACCATTCGCCGGCGAGTTACGTGCAGCCAACGCCTTCTCTAATACTAATACATAGAGTAGGTCGTGGTACAGCAAACAAGACTATCTCTATATTTGCCACAATAACCATATTAAACACGATTTCTATTTTCTATTTTTTTTTTCAAACAACCTTCGATTGGGGGGGGGGGGGGGGGGGGGGGGGGGGGGGGGGGGGGGGGGGGGGGGGGGGGGGGGGGGGGGGGGGGGGGGGGGGGGGGGGGGGGGGGGGGGGGGGTGGGCAATCAAGGACTATCTCGACGTCGGCGCAGACAGTGACTGCGACATTAACTTCATTAACCGTGTTAGACACGTGCGATTTCTATTTCATTAATATATCTGGAGTATCTGTCTACGAGAAAACAATTGCCTGCGGTTTTGAATTGTGTTTTAATCGCGACACAGTAGTAGGGACTCACATGTCTAATACTTGAGTTCTCTTTTCGTTGTTCCGATTAAGTGGCTGCTTGGTCGAATGGTTAGAACATTGGGTTCATGTGCGGTAGACCTGGGTTCGAATTCGCAGTCGTTACATTTTTTTTTTAACCCGGACTAAAATAATATCCTCATCTGCTCTGCCGTGGTGACAGCACTAGCCATGTTGCCTTAATATTTAAAAAAAAAAAAAAAAAAATTTGATAATTAAATTTGACCATTTCGCATACTTATGATTGCATTGTTAAACTTTCCGATTGCATGGTTACGCTGAAATTTTTATAGATTTTCATTTATTTTCATTCAGATTTAGTTATTTCATCTGTGTTGGAATTTTAAGCTGTGCTGTTTACAATGGCGTTCATTTCCTAATTATGGTTTTTTTTTTTCCTGTGTTCGTTTGCTTTTCAAGTTTATTTTTTCTCCCAACTACTTCAATGAGGGAAAGAGTTGTCGGTGAATTTGGGGGGAGGGGGGGGGGTGCAAACTATTAACTGAGAGAGCTTTAAGTCACAGTAACTGCTTTACCCACTTGAAGTAGCAGCAGCAGTAATAGTTGTTACACCAGGGCTGTTACACCATAGTGCTCTCATGTGAAGACCGCCGGTAAGGTTATGGCGTTCTTCTGTCGGCAAGTGAAATTATACATCCTAACCTGACCAGTCTGTGGCGACAGCACTAGCCATGCGGAACCAAATCTTCTGGCTCACGACTCTCTGTCTACTCCGATGGTAACACAGATAGCAGTGACATTATTTTAGTAGTTGTACTGGTACTTGAAGGATGATGTGGTAAATATTACACTAGCCCTATTCACTACCTTTTACAATTCCTGCTCCCTATTTTAGTCCAGATGGACAGGGATGTCAATGTCAGTTACAGCAACAACAAAATATCGCCAGTTAGTGATTTTCAAATCCTTCGAAGAGGGAGAGAGCAGTAGTCGGTGGAAGAGGGGAGGGGGTAATGACTTAAATTTAGGAGAAATCAAAGAGCTTTACACTTGATTTTCAAGTTCCCATTGCCTAATTTGTTTATATTTTACTAACGCTACCTCCGCTTTTCTATTTTTTACGACTCACTTTGTTATTCACAAGTACAGTTGTAGCTTTACTTCCGTCCCCTATAAAAAATACAAACAGCTTTAGCATGTGATAACCAAATAACCATTTTTGTTACTGTGCTAATAACACCATTTAAACGACCACTAATATAAAAACACAATTATAAGGTGCGTGTTCTAAAGTTGGAAAACCAGACTATCGCTATATCCGTGCAGAGAATGATTGCGACATTAACTGTATTAGACACGTGCGATTTCCATTGTCTTTCTTTTCCAAAAACCTTTGATGAGGGAGATAGTAGTAGGTGGATTTAGTTGTGGTGGTGGGCGGGGATCAAAGACTATCTCTATATCTGAGCAGACAATGATTGTATTAGACACGTGCGTTTTCTATTTTCTTTCATTCCATTTAGCCAAACTATGCCACAGCAACGCGTGGCCGGGTACAGCTAGTATATATATAAATAACAGATTTTGACCAAAGCAGGACAGAAAGCGCATATTATGGAAAGCAAGACGTATTAGTTAAGGGTTGACAATAAAAATATACTCACTGAAATAGAAGACCTTTTAAATTCTATGGACAACTAGAATTAGTCACCCGTATAGTTTGAAAGAAACGAATGCCAAATTTCACTAACATTATAAGGACCGTCATTGTTGGTGGTCGTGTAATGAGAACAGAAACTTATCACTGGTGATCATGTAATGAGAAAGGGAGCATATCTTTGGTGATAATGTAATGGTAAGAGAAACATGTCGTTGGTGGTCATGTAATGGAAAGAGAATCATATCTTTGGTGGTCATGCAATGGGAAGAGAAACATATGGCTGGTGGTCATGTAATAATAAGAGAAACATATCGTTGGTTGTCATGTAATGAGAAGAGAAACATATCGTTGGTGGTCATGTAATAATAAGAGAAACATACGGTTGGTGGTCATGTAATGAGAAAAGAAACATATCGTTAGTTGTCATGTAATGAGAAAAAAAATCGTTGGTAGCCATGTGATGAGAAGAGAAACATATCGTTGGTGGTCATGTAATGAGAACAGAAACATATCGTTGGTGGTCATGTAATGAGAACAGAAACATATCGTTGGTGGTCATGTAATGAGAAGAGAAACATATCGTTGGTGGTCATGGAATGAGAACAGAAACATATCGTTGGCGGTCTTGTAATGAAAAGAGATACATATCTTTGGTGGTCATGTAATGAGAAGAGAAACACATCTTTGGTGGTCATGTAATGAGAAGAGAAACATATCTTTGGTGGTCATGTAATGAGAAGAGAAACACATCTTTGGCTGTCATGTAATGAGAAGAGAAACACCTTGTTGGCGGTCATGTAATGAGAACAGAAACATATCGTTGGTTGTCATGTAAAGAGTAGAAAACACCGTCCTATACTTGAAGCTGATTTGTTTTGGCCACGGTAAATATCATAGAGGGAGTCGCCTTCCGATCGGCTAGACGCTCGCCGCGGATCGGAAGGTCGTGGGTTCGCTCCTGTCGTGGAATGATCAAACCCACCCCTACAAATTAGACTATTCTTGACGTTAACGCCCCTAGTGGGCAGGTTACTTTTCAAATATAGACCCGTCTTGTGGGTATACAGTCCATCATATATATTTATACCTTTATCTGACGAAATAGATATTTCTGTATGTTCTAGGTCTCTTGTGAAGTCTACATTTTCAAACTTACAATTGTGGGGTAGAGGTTCTCTATATTAATATTTATAATCAGAGAAGCCTATTCACTCCTCGGCGTATTGATCTGGAAGCTTCTTTCTTCTAAAGTGACGCTAAATTTCCCCCGATTCATTCTCTGCCAGTAGATCAGAAGTGTTTTGCATTTGTGCTTAAATTCTGTCCTGAACAAAGTACCAGTCAATTCCTGGAGGAATCCTGAGCTTGGGATGATATCTCCTTGGAGGCCAGACAGTCAATCAGCAGTCCACAAAATCACCAACTACCAAACCATCACCATGGTAGACAACAAAGTGGAAGCCAGAGTGTAGGCATCAGCTTGCAGGCCGCACATGTGTCATTTATCAGAGAGTACCCTCTTCAGGGGCTGGTTTGGGCTCCAGTGATTGAGCTCTGTTTGTGACTGTTTTTATCAGATCAACCATCGAATTGAACATTCCCAAAAGTGTCAGCCTGTTCAAGTAATCAAGAACCGATGAGTGCAGTGACGCCAACCTGGACTAGATAAATAGAGAGACTCTGTGGTTTGGTGCCTTGTTCTATATTTACAGGTCCACTCTGAATCACCGTGATGAAATCAGGCTGTCTCTAGGAGTCTTCGAGGATCCGTCAATGTTGCTTTGGTTTTGATCTCTCATTATTCTAGTTGTTCTTGAATATCTTTGCTTGAGTCTTATATGATGTATATGTTGCATTTATTACATGTCTTTGGAAGTTTTCATTATTGACTTGAGTGTCCATCATTCACTGTTCAAAACTGTCTAGAGTATATGTATGTATAACCAGTAATTCTAATCTGTGTTAACATGGCTATGATAGTACATTATCATAACCTGTTGGGCTATTTTCTTATAGTAGTGGGGGCAACCAGCCAAGTTGCGCCTAGAACTATTATATAATCTGTAGTGCCACAGCTTGAGTTGCCCTACTCCTGAAATAGGTTGGGTGTATATTGGCCGCGGGATACCCTTCAGACCAATACGAGCCATCACTCCAACATTATACTATTTCAGGGTGCTGTTGATTCTTAACGAGAAATCCTTAATCAGGCATGCGACACGAGCGGTATGTGACAGCTCCTTGGCGGAGCCTGAGTTTTTTCAAAAATGACCTTAGCTCCCAGGTCGAACCAGCCTTGATTGGGTACCGGGTGCAGTCCCGGGAAGTAAAGGTGATCGGCGTGATGCTGAACGCATCACCCATCTTGTGCCGATTGGTCTATAAAAATATAGGTCTAGCCCTATATACACTATACGCCTAAAGGCGTTAAAAAGGGTCCTTTACTTACTTTACTAAATATAATTACGGCCTGGAGAGAATGGTGATGAAGTGTACATTTTCTGAAAAAACGATACAGAGGTAAACCCCTGCGAAGGTGGATTTAATACATTGAAAATGAATTGGCTATGAAAGCACATAAGGCTTGAGAAATGGCTAAAGAAACAGACACGCTCTCAACTACTGTAACCGATCTTCTAACTGATGATGATAATGATGATGAACGAAAAAAAGGAAACTAGAACATGTGACCATTGAACAAATTTGTGGAAACATAAAGAGAGGAAGAGCGTGAAAAGATTTTTGACAGCCTCTTGTCATCGGACAGTCATGTTTCAACACACGACCTAATACATGCTGTAAATGATGGCAGGTTGTGAAGAGGCATGATCTTGATTGTGAGTCGACAAAGCACTTGATGAGGAAAACAAAATTCACCACATCTTGTTAACTATTTCTACATAATGGTGATGTATTGTGTGGTCATTTCAGCACAATGTTCAAAGATATTACACGAAACGATGCAGCAAAGAGGCAAGTGACCAAACTGGCATTTGCATCTATAGAGACGAGGCTTCGGAAAATTCTGAAGACGTTTTCTGTGCACGTGACCAATGATGAAGTAGATGGTAGACAACAATCTCTTGTAGGTAAGTTCTTTCTTGGTATTCTTGACTGTAAACTCTTGCGGAAGCTTTGGCTCTTTGATACATTCGAACTTCAGTTTTGTGCCAAAGCAACAATTTTGCGTGCACATAATTTTTACAGATTTGGCGAACTTGTATTCAGACTGTTCGTTCCGTAGCGTTCTGGCAGACAGACTCCCCCGACTTCGGAAGAAAAATCCCCAATTTAGTCGCTGTTTACCACTTGCTTGCTAGAGAGACAATTGGTCTGTTTTCTCTCTCTCTCTCTCTCTCTCTCTCTCTCTCTCTCTCTCTCTTCTCCCTACCAAAGGGGATGGGGTAGGCGGGCCGGGGGGGGGGGGGGGGCACCTGAACCCGGATGGAAAGTAGATAAATTCTAGCCAATAAAAAAGAAGACATAGGGACAGGGGGGGGGGGGAGTGGTGGTGGTGGCCTCATTCCCTACCATTTGGGGGGGGGGGGGAACCCGGGGCGGGATCCGAATTATCTCAGTCTTGTTTAAGTGCTTGATAGTAATAAAAACCACACTTAAAAATAAGAATGATGATGATATCATGCTGAATGGCAAAGAAAAAATTATAATTCATATGAAATAATATTTTTTTTTAATGCACAAATGTCAGCGCATGTGGATTAGGCGCTGCAAACGAGCTTCATGATCCCGGGGTGCGAGGTTCGATCCCAGCTGCGAACGGTTTGTTTTTGTGTTGGTTTCGATGTGTAGTACCGACAGCTGACCGTACGTACAGTGAGCATCAGCAAACTACTTAACGTAAAATTGGCCTAGAAAAACTACAAGTCACCAAATATGTGGGTTCGTTCTGCAACGTTATGTAAAATATACGCAACTAACTATGCACAAAGGACAACTTAAATGTATCCATGTTATGTATAGCTTCTATGTATATAAGAAACATTCAATATTTCCATATCCCAACTAGAACAATGTTCAGTGCTTGAACATGAGATAAGTTCAGTCTGCGATCTCCCGACGGCAATTGAGCACATGGTTTGCGTGGTCCGAACACTGGACCATCTGACCGAGAACCTGGATGATCTGTCTGCTGGAGATTACGTGGACCTTGCTCCGGGAAGTGAAGCAGCACTGGACTCTGACAAGACAACCAGGATGGAGGCTATCAAACATAGGCTGATGGACGTCCAGGTATTGGATGTAATGTCTTAACCTTGTTGTTTACAAGGGCTAAATTTAGGGGGATGGCTATCCGTGTAGGTTCTGGGGCCTAATTTTAGCTGTAAACGACTAATTGGGAGCTTTCTTCAAAGTCTGAATGCATCTGCATGAGAGGCAAGGAAGCAACAATATTCATACTTCCTCTTCTTCTTCTCGTTCAACAGCTGTAAACTCAGGCGGAAAGTTCTGGTTGTTCGTTCACTTATGGACTGTAGTCCAATTCCAGAACCTGAGTGTAGCGTGTGCATCCGTTTTACATATCTGACTCATCTGTATGCAGACTGATGGTTCCTTGCCACTCAGGTAGATGTACTCCGACTTCCAAGCAAGCTTCCAGTTAGTCGACTCTCACGACATGCTTTAGTATAGGCAGTGGGTCTATTCTTGCTTTTCCTACAAGAGGGCCGGAACCCATACAGGTAAATCTGAATACGAATAAGGTAGATTTGTAAAACGGATATACACTTAGGTTCTGGAACAAGACTAACGTTCAGAGGTGGACAAACAACCACAATTTCCGCCTGAGTTTACAGCCAGTTAACGCGAAGAAGAAGAAAGAAGAGTAGGATGGCGGGATAGACCCACAACTCATTTTATTTCTATAGTTAGCTCGTGCACTGCGCTGAGATTCTTCGGACTCAGGTTTGAGTCAGAAGTAGAACGGAGCACTTATGGGTTACTAATTTGAGTACACTTATGTTGATCCGTCGTCTAAACTTAAACTTATGTAGTTTCAATTAATGATGCTTGACTGTGTCAATTCCCAGACTGATGAGAACCGTTTAGCCGTCTATTCCGTCGACTGGACCTCCGGAGGCATCAGACCACACGTCCATCGAGCACACTCGACGTACACGGATCGAATGTGCAAGACTCTCTTTAACCAAATTGTTAATCATCCGGATCTGAAGACTCCGGCAGAGGCACCGTCAACGTGGAAACATGAGCTGTTCTATGAAGTGTCAGAGCATGTACGGATATGTCAAGAAAGGTACGTGATTCTAGTTTGAATCTTTAGGGAAACAATTTTAGTTGATAATTTGTTTTCCAGGGTATGCGGGTTTTGGAAAAAGAACAGGAAGAAAGACAGGCAGGTTGGTAACCGGAAAAAAAGTGCAAAAAGACATTACAGTCTGAAGTGACTGGTACTGCTTGGAGTCACCGGGGGTTCTGGTCAACACTTCACACTCAAGGCAAGACACCAGAGACATAGAATTAAATCACATTCCTGCTGATACCATAAGACTGTGATATCCCCCCCAAAATGCGCGCTGGGGCGCCCCTGGGAGCTGCAACCTCGTCACGGAAGCGCTGCAAAATATTCGAAGATACATGAGATTAATTTTTTTTTCTTTTTTTAATCTCTTACATAGGAAGAGCCATATTATTATTTAAGTTAGGGCGCCGTGGAAAGATTTTATTTTAAAAAAAAAGGCGCATCGACTAAGAAAAGTTTGGGAAACACTGCCACATGAACTGGAACTATGCTGGCTTCTGAAGATGGTTTGGAACGTTCAGGACAATGTCGGTTATCATCTCGATTCTTTACACAGTTCAGCTTGAATAAATGAAAGCCGTCATTAGGTTCCTTACAAATAACGCCATAAGCGTGCTACTACAACCTATAGAGGACGGAAGCCGCAAAATTGTAGTGTACGGATCCTTGCCCGGATGCTAGATGTGTTGGGTTTATATCCACATAGGCGTTCATCTCATTTCATTTCGATCCTCTAGTACCTTGCATGTCGAAATGTCGTATAATTTACGAGAAAGTGTCTGTTTGTGCGCTTTGTAAATGGGGATTTCCAGAGACATTTTCCCCTGTCCATCGTTTGCATAGTCGGCCTCTGCTTCGCCTTCCGCCTGGTCTGTACATCATTGCTCGCTGTGGTATACTGTTTCCTGACATCTGCGTTAGATGGCAAAACCATTTAACTGGTCTGCCAATGAAATCCAGAGCTGTTGCTACCCCCATTCTTTTTCAGATGTCATCATTCTTGTTTTTATAATAAGAGCCTTTTGTAGAATTGTCATTTCAGTTGTTGCAATTTTTCTATGACATTAGAATTTAACATTTTTAGACATGGGGAGAGCTCCATGTAATGGCGAAGGATAGAACGACTTGGCGTGAGTTGGTTAAGGGCCTATGCTCCATTTGGGGATAGAAAGGCAGAAGAAGAAGAATTTTTCTTTTGTCTTTTCTGCCTTTTCCCTTTTGGCAATGACAGCCCAAGGTTGGCCCCACACACACAATTTTTTCATAGACTACTCTTTCGGTTTCTGCTGACACATGTTCGTTTTTTTTTTGTACTGGTGCCATGTATCCAATGAGTTGGTTTGATCTGGCACATCTGCTATAGATCTCGTCTTCTGTTTTGCCGGCTGATGATATTACGCTCCCTAAATATTTGGAGGTATTGGTTTGTTTCAGAGGGGATTCTGTAAGCTGGATACTTATCTTTTAGTCTTCTTTTGCTATAGTCATGATCTATGTTAAGTTGGCCTTGGGGTTTGTCTATAAGTTACAGTCTAAACCGAGTTACTATTATTTTTCATGTCTATAATTTACAGTCTAAACTGAGTAACTATGATCTTTCATGTCTGTAATTTACAGTCTAAACCGAGTAACTATTATTTGTCATGCCTATAATTTACAGTCTAAACTGAGTAACTATGATCTGTCATGTGTATAATTTACAGTTTAAACTGAGTAACTATGATCTGTCATGTCGATAATTTACAGTCTAAACTGTGTAACTATGATCTGTCATGTCTATAATTTACAGTCTAAACTGAGTAACTATGATCTGTCATGTCTATTATTTACAGTCTAAACCGAGTAACTATTATTTGTCATGTCTATAATTTACAGCCTAAACTGAGTAAATATGATCTGTCATGTCTATTATTTACAGTCTAAACTGAGTAACTATGATCCGTCATGACAAGTTTGAGACTTCGGCAAGACGTTAAGAACACCACACACAGAATGTAGATTTATATATAATATTTTGAGATTACCTCCATGTACCTGACGCGAAGATGACATGAAAAGATTCATTTACCCCCCCCCCCCCCCCCCCCCCCCCCCCCCCCCCCCCCCCCCCCCCCCCCCCCCCCCCCCCCCCCCCCCCCCCCCCCCCCCCCCCCTTTCCTCCACGCCCACCCTCTTACTCCTTTTTTTTTTTTTTTTCAATACCATGCATTTTGTTTTTGAAATAAATTGACCAAGTTGCTTCAATAACCGACATTATAGCACTCTGGGAGTTACCATAAACGCTTCACCCCCATCTTCAGCAGCCAAGCAGCCAGTGCAGAGTTTCAAAACTAATGGTTCTAGTAGCATTCTAATTATACGTCCGTGCTGCCATGCCTCCGAGCGTCGAGTATTGGCCAGATCCCCTTGTCACTCCCTACTACATCATTCTTACCAGACTGTGGTGATCCGATGGCTCCTCTGAATTCTCAACATTCTCCCACACATGCCCTAGAAACCTTTAGGTAATATTTCTTGGTGAGGGAGCCGCCGTGTTGTAGCGGCGAGACGCTCGCCTGCGGATCGGAAGCTTGTGGGCTCGGGTTCAGAGGGGCTGGAAATGTTTTTTTTTTTAAATAGCTTTGGCTCCCAGGTCCTCCTAGCCTTATGTGGGTACCAGGTACAGTCCTGGGAAGCAAAGGCTGACCTCATAACCCACCAAGCACCGTTTAGTCTGTACAATATAGGTCCAGCCCTAAATACCCGATACATCTAAAGGCGTTGAACAAGGCCTTTACAAATATTTCTTATTACCCACTTTCAAATGATACGACCTGGTACCCCAGTCCCCACCCCCACTCCTCCCGCCCTCTTTTCCCGACAATCGTCTGTTTAAAAATACAAAATCAGCCTTGCTGAGATTTGAACAGATGCTCGCTGTGTTTCTTTAGTTCTCAAGAAAAAGAAAAATGCATAAAATGATTTGTTGGCTGTGGTTATATCTGTCCCATATTTGCAGAGCCCGTGTCATTCAAGATTGTGAGCATGTTCTGGACAAAATTCAAAGCTACCTGCTGTCAGATACCAGACGCCCCTTGGTTGTGCATGGACAATGCGGTTGTGGGAAGTCAACTATTTTGGCGGCAGCAGCTGTGAGAGTTCATTCATGGATGAAGGGGTGGGTAACTGTTAGTTTTACAAAAGAGCTACAATTATGTGATTGTATCCCTTGTTTATTTCTCTCTCATTTGACAGTTAGGTGCCTAAGCCTTGTCCGCATAAAAAAGTTAACATCCTTTTTCACGCAATGGGCGCATCTATCATATGGAAAGAGACCCCCATATTTGTACAGACCAATCGGCACTAGGTGGGTAATATGATCAGCATTACGCCGGCCGTCTTTACTTCCCCAGGACAGTCATCCTGGTACCCATTTTAGGCTGGCTCGACCTGCGACGCCCCATACCATGATAAAAATCTACGCAGCCCGCAGTGGGTTTTGATCGCAGTCCGTTGGAATTACGAGTGGGACCCGCACCGCCTAAGCCACAGACGCCGCCTTGTCCACCTACATACACTGAATTACAGGTTTCCTCGTACCCGTTCTATAAGGCCCCAATATACTTGTGGGAGTGGTCGTAGTGTAGCGGCTAGATGCTTGCCTGTGGATCGGAAGGTCGTGGGTTCGTGTCTTGAAGGAAAAACAGTTTCTTTTATAATGACTTTGGCTTCCAGGTGGACCCAGCCTTAATTGGATACCAGGTACAATCCTGAAAACTATAAGCGGTCGGCGTGATGATAACCACAACACACACAGTGCTGATTTGTTTTTGAATGGTTTTTAAACATGAAGGTCTACCCTACATGCCCAGTACTTTCGAAGGCGGGGGGAAGTGTCCAACAATATAATTCTTCTATACGGCTGAATGACGTAAAATCACCATTAGCCCTACCCAGATACATAGGGACTCATGTCACTCTATATATCTTGGTTCTTGGTATTCTGTATCAATTCCACTGATTATGATCCGCTAATAAAAAGTAGATCTCTATATTCAACAACAACAAAACTGACAAACACTGCTCTTGAGCCACATAATGAGATTAGAGACATTGTAGAACATGGTGACAACTGGAAAGATCAGTTGAAAAAAGGGTAAACGCAGACCAAAAGAGATGATGCTGGATGGCTAAAACGATGGGATGGAGGGATATCATCAAGAGAGCTGTTCCAGTCAACCAGGGATCGTGATCTGTCTAGACGCATGAGTTCATATGCCAGTTTGCAGGGCTCATGGTGATATAAATAATCAGGTTTGGTCCCTTAGAATATATATATATATATATATATATATATATATATATATATATATATATATATATATATATATATATATATATATAAATATATATATATATATTCTAAGGGACCAAACCTGATTATTTATCAACACACTGTTCTGTAGAAGCAGTCGACTTGCTTTTGAAAGTAACATTTTAATTAAAATGTCTTTATTCCTTCAGTGTTAACCGTAAGTAGTTGGGCATAACTCTTTCAGATTTGATATAAAATATCCAGGGTCATAAATATTTGCCTACAACGTATTGAACAAGTATCAAGCAGTTTATGCCAAGAAACCTGCATTTGACAACCTGTAACCAGGATTACACTTTTATCTCATACCTCGAATGCTTGCAAGCATAAGTTTCTCTTGAGAGGGGATTCAAGTCCCCTTATGTTCTCAATAAGTAAATGAGTTGCGGATGTGCAAGAAAGACCACGCACACGTTAACATATTACATACAACGTTCTCATGTGGGGCTTAATTACTTTTGGGCATCATTTCTAAACGATAACTTGCCGAGAGGTCGAATACACGTGTGGAGTTTGTTCACTGAGTTCCACCATCACGACCCATGACACCTGCACAGCGAGCCCAGATCACCCAGTTTTCTATCAACCTTTGCAGTCCACGAGATACCCAAATCTACTCCAGGAGCTGACAAAGATGACCACCGTAGATTGGGACCTGGCAGCCAGCTTCTTTAGCATCCAGATGCATCACCCATCTACAGTTCTTGTGACCGTGTCTGACCCAGGGGTCGCCTCTAAAGCTTCACTTACCTGACTGACCAGTGCCTTGATAGGCCCCGGCGGAGTGCCGCACGGCGGTATCGTCGAACTCTGCAGATAGGAAGCACCTACGTCACGTTTTTAAAAAAATCCTCACAAAGGTTTCTGAAGACAGAGTTTACCACCAGCTTCATGAATTAAGTTAAGTTATAAATTGACACCTCAGCACTTGGGGCATTCCCAGGCGTGCTCAGTCTTTATCTTCAACAGCCAGCGCAGAGTTCTAATACTGATGGTACCAGTCATAATTTGGTTATATTCCGTCTGCCTTTCCTCTGAGTGTAGTGAGCCGGCCAGACCCTCTGGACCCAGGTGCCTCATTCTCTTCAGGTCATAATAATCTTCTTTCTCTACTGATTTCGTTGCTTGTTCCCAAAAGACGTTGACGACATCTGCTTTGTCATCTATCAATTCACCACCCAGTGGTTCCGATTAAGCCAATCTGTCTGACTGTTCGTTACCCACTACGCCTGCATGGCTTGGAGAAAAGATCCACAATTTACTGTAGAAGGCGTGGGTATCGTTCTTCAGCACGACGAGGAAAAAAAAACAGTCACGATCAACTAGGTACCAATTGCGCAACCGAGGACTAATAATTTCTGTACTCCTGATGATGATGATGTTCAACCCTACCAGGACATCACACTAAGCAGTAACTTGAAGGTGACACAAAGTACCACCATTCGGATGAGATCACCCAGGAACAGGTCCCAGAAACCCTGTTCAACCCATAGGATGGGTTATATTAGGGCCCCCTCAACAGCCATGGTAAGGCTTTAAAACAACAACAAACTGCGTCCCACATTTGGGACATACGCTTTTGATTGATCCGTTCCCCTCGCTTTCAAATCCATCTGTGACTCGCTGCATCCCACGGTTGGTGTTCGAAACCAGGTGGTTCCCGGGGTTCACCCAGCCTCTAGGAAATGGGTACCAGAGTTAACACTCTGGGGTAAATGGAGGAACTTCGCTGTAGCTACGGAGTTTCGTGCCAATGGCGACACAGAGCACTTAAGGTCTATAATCGTGTGCAATAGACGTGACCTATGAAAATGCACGAGGGCCTAGTTGGCAGGGCACATGATGATGATATTCCTTTCGGGCTTGAAAGGATTGATTAACATGTTCTGCCTCTTCTAGATCTTTCCCGTCATCACATTGCTTATCTTCTCACTACATAAAAGGAAGGACACCGACTGACTCTTTCTCATTGGTTTATAGTGTTCTAAATAAATTAGCCACATTTAATCAGTCTTTATTAGTCATTCTGTCTGTCCACGATGTCCGCAGCATACCCCTCAGAAACCACCCACAACCTACCAAACCCAAGGAAAGGTAGACCCAGTCAGCCTTACATTATCATACACGATAAATAAATGTTGCGGGTTGAAAGCCATCATCAGCACACGAAACGAATACAAAATACCAAATATATGGACAAGAATACACAAAATCACTCAGGCTAAGTATCACCGAGAGAAACCGCATGTCTAGCCAACTGATTCGCTGAGACGCTTTTGACCACCGGAAATGAATACTGGCCACTAAGCTGAGAAAGACAAAGGCTGTAACTAGTTAACGATAATAATAATATGAATAACAGTTAGATAAAATTGCGTTGCATGTCTTATGTCAGGATTTTTTGAATGCACAACACTCATCATCATCATGTTCACTGCCAACTGGCATAGGTGCTCATGCTTCTCCACAGATCACGATCCCTGGCTGCCTGGAACAGCTCTCTTGATGATATTCCTCCATGTAATCGCTTCAGCCCATCCAGCATCATCTCTCTTGGTCTGCCTCTACCCCCTTTTCCACTGATTTTTCCAGTTGTCATGATGTTCTCCATTGTCTCTCTTCTCATTGTATAACCAAAGACAGTGTTTGTCTCTTTTTTATTGTTGTTTATAGAGATCACCTTTCATTAGCTTTTTTCAAACAATTGTTTTTAGTTCCTCTGGCCGTCCAAGGTATTAGTAACATTCGTCTCAGAAACCACATCTCTGTTGCTTCCAAAGTATTCCTAATTTGTCCACTGAGATTTCAAGATTCGCTGCCATACAGCAGAACAGGTTCTATTTAACATTTTAGCTCCCTCTTTCTGACATTAAATTAGAGCGATTTATTGCATATTGTTCATTTTCTGGAATGCAGCTTTTGCTTGACCTATTCTGCTTTTAAACTCAGTCACTCATTTTCCATCTGATGATATGACTCATCATCATGTAGCCGGTCCTTTGCAGAACGTCGCTCTCATCACAGTCTGCGTGAAAGAAACTCGGTCTCTCGCCAGTTCTCCTGCCTCATATGCTTTCATACTCATGGAGTCACTTATTTCCTGTGCCTATCTTCGTGTCTGTCGGCCTCTGCCCCTCCTTCCTGGTACCATGCCTTCTGCTATAGTTTTTTCCAATCCGTTGTGGTGCTTGATATGACCAAAATATTTCAGCCTTTGAGAAAAGATGCTGTTTGTTAGCCAATCTTCCTTGATGTTCAGATCTTTTAAGATGTCAATATTTCTCCTCTTCTTTGTGCAAGATATTCTGAGAATCTTTCTTTAGCATTTCAGCTCAAAAGCCCCTATTATCTTTCTTAAAGACTGAGAGATAGTCCACCAAACACATCCGTGTGTAGCCACAGGGAAGATGCATGCTCTCAAAATTCTAATTTTTATCGATGATATGATTGTTGCCAGATATTTGAATTTATTGACTTAAAAGACTGATGTTTCATTTCAGGATTTTTTAATGCACAACACTAAGATATGTATATTCCCGTTGCGGCTTCACTCAAGTCCGTAATGTTTCTTTGTCCCCAGCAAGAAGGTGAATCCCCATGTTCTAGTGCGCATGATTGGATGTACAAGTAACTCTACAAATATCCGCACACTGCTGAGGGATGTTAGTCGTCAGCTGTGTCACGTGTTTGATCAAAGTCCTCTGGAAATACCCACGGTAAGAACCATTGTCAAGCAAACGTGACCATACATTTATAGCTGTAGTGGTACTTTGTTCAGTCTGCAGACTGAAAGAAAAGTGAAGGAACTTTTCCACGCCTTTAGGCGCATAGGGCATACAGGGCTAGACCTATACTTTAAAAGACCAATTGGCACAAGATGGGTGATGTGGTCAGCATCACGCCGGCCGCCTCTACTTTCCGGGACAGCAGCCGGTACCCACTCAAGGCTGGGTTGACCTGGGAAGTATGGTCAGTTTTGAAAAAAGGCCAGCTTCTCCAGGGAGCGAACCCACGACCTTCCTATCCGCGGCGAGCGTCTAGCAAGTTCCCTGTCTTAATAATGCCCTCATCACACAGATCGTTTTGAACATACAACAAGATAGCCTGAATAGTTAGTAGGATCACTGAACATACAACAAGATAGCCTGAACAGTTAGTAGGATCACTGAACATAGAACAAGATAGCCTGAACAGTTGGTAGGATCACTGAACATACAACAAGATAGCCTGAACAGATGGTAGGATCACTGAACATACAAGAAGATAGCCTGAACAGTTGGTATGATCACTAAACATACAACAAGATAGCCTGAACAGATGGTAGGACACTGAACATGCAATGGGATAGCCTGAACAGCTGACAGGATCACTAAACATACAACAAGATAGCCTGAACAGATGGTAGGATCACTGAACATACAACAAGATAGCCCAAACAGCTGGTAGGATCACTGAACATACAACAAGATAGCTCGAACAGCTGGTAGGATCACTGAACATACAACAAGATAGCTCGAACAGCTAGTAGGATCACTAAACATACAACAAGAAAGCCTGAACAGCTGGTAGGATCACTGAACATACAACAAGATAGACTGAACAGCTGGTAGGATCACTGAACATACAACAAGACAGCCTGAACAGAACATAAAAGATAGCCTGAACAGCTGGTAGGATCACTGAACATACAACAAGATAGCCTGAACAGATGTTAGGATCACTGTACATACAAGATAGCCTGAACAAGCTTGTAGGATCACTGAACATACAACAAGAGAGCCTGAACAGCTGGTAGGATCACTGAACATACAACAAGATAGCTTGAACAGCTAGTAGGATCACTGAACATACAACAAGAGAGCCTGAACAAGCTTGTAGGATCACTAAACATACAACAAGATAGCCTGAACAAGCTTGTAGGATTACTGAACATACAACAAGATAGCCTGAACAGATGGTAGGATCACTGAACATACAACAAGAAAGCCTGAACAGAACATACAAAATAGCCTGAACAGCTGGTAGGATCACTGCACATACAAGAAGATAGCCTGAACAGATGGTATGATCACTGAACATACAACACTATAGCCTGAACAGCTGGTATGATCACTGAACATACAACAAGATAGCCTGAACATATGTTAGGATCACTGAATATACAACAAGCTTGCCTGAACAGCTGGTAGGATCACTGAACATACAAGACAGCCTGAACAGTTGGTAGGATCACTGAACATACAACAAGATAGCCTGAACAGAACATACAAAATTGCCTGAACAGCTGGTAGGATCACTGCACATACAAAAAGATAGCCTGAACAGATGGTATGATCACTGAACATACAACACGATAACCTGAACAGCTGGTATGATCACTGAACATACAACAAGATAGCCTGAACATATGTTAGGATCACTGAACATACAACAAGATAGCTTGAACAGCTGGTAGGATCACTGAACTTACAACAAGATAGCCTGAACAGCCCTGAAAAGCTGGTAGGATCACTGAACATACAACAAGATAACCTGAACAGCTGGTAGGATCACTGAACATACAACATGATAGCCTGAACAGCTGGTAGGATCACTGAAAAACAGGAATTCTTGCTGCTTATTTCACGTGCCAATTGTTCAAACGGTTGCAGAATTGCAGCAATTCTTGTTGCTAGAACCCACTGGCTTATTGTCAGTGTTAGAATTGTCCCTCCACCACTATTCGTATTCAGCCCTACGGCAAGTATTCGGCCGATAACCGAGTAGTTTTTAGGGCAACTATTCGACCCCGAAGCGAACACGAAGTGAACGTTCGTTACACGTCTACCTATAATGTCTTCCATGCTTATTTCTAACACATTATTATGGGGATGTCGATTTCAGGACTACAAAGGAGTGGCTAATGACCTGGTATGTCAACTAGGGCGGGCCTCTACCCAACACCCTGTCATTGTTATTCTGGATGGAATCGACAAACTGACAGGTAGGTCTCTAACAGCAGTACATGGTTAGAATGTTGAATTATTAATCGACATCACAGCACTCGGGACACTCCCATAAGTGCTAGGTCCACATCTTCAGCAGCAAGCCAATAGTTCCGAATCCGATGGAACCAGTAACCGTCTGTTTGTATACCCGTCTCATCATTACCATGAGTGTTGAGCGTCGGCTAGATCCCCTGGTAACTGCTCGCAGCGCCATTCTCCCTAGTCAGTCAGTCAGTTCTCGTTGTGCCTAGTGGCTTCAGAGCGGACTTTCCATGCTTTCCTGTCCTGTGCAATCTTCAGTGCAGTTTTCCATGTCAAAGATGCCGCACTCAGGTCACTTTCCATCGTTCGTCTCCATGTTGTTTTTGGACGCCCATGTTTTCTCTTTTCCTCTGGTGTCCATGTGAGAGCTGTTTTGGCAGGTATATCAGGATTCATTCTCATAACGTGGCCAAGCCATTTTCATCTTCTTGGTTATCATATTGTCTAAAGCTTCTTGGTTTGTGACTTGAAGTAGTTTAGTGTTTGAGATTGTATCTGGACAGAAAATTTTGATAATTTAACTTAGACATGTGTGGTGGAAGGTGGACAGCTTGTGTGCATCCTTTTTGGTCATTCTCCAGCATTCCTCTCCATAAAAAAGAACTGGGAAAATGAGACTCTTGTAGAGTCGAAGTTTCGTTCCTCTGCAGTAATTGGTGGATTTCCAGATTTGCCTCATCCCTCCAAGGGCAGCTCTAGCTTTCTTCAGACGTAACTGTACGTCCTCTTCCTTCCCTCCCGGCAGGGACACCACACTGCTAAGATATGCGAAATATTCTACATTTTTAAGAGTTTGGTTATTTATGGTCACTGGTTGTTGGTTTGGACTGCTTGTCATGATCTTAGTTTTCTTTGTATTTTTTCTCAATTATAAGACACCGATCTTTGTATGGTAAAACCCGGTGCAATGAAGTCGTCCCTCTCGACTTGAACCTTTTTCGTTTTCTCCTTTCTGTCTTTCCAAACGATAGTGTTATGTTTTGCTATAAGGAGGAATGACATAATGGACATAAGGAGAATATGAGGGAATATAAATCACAGCCTATGGCATTGATAAAAAGAACCATGATGAAGTGTCTCCTTCCTGTAGCACAACATCTAGGCAGTATTGTAGACATCATGTGCTGGTTGTGCAGCATGATACGTCTCTCGGGCTGCCCTGTTAATTACGAAGGAAGGGCAACACCAATATCGGGAATAAAGCATGCTGCAGAAGGTGTCGAATGAAAAGAGCAATATTCCTTCTGTCCATCTGATAAGAGTTTCTTTTTTTAGACCCGCTGTGAACTAAAGCCTACTGCCTGGTCTGTCCAGTCATAACAGTAAAGGGTAAAAAAAAATATCACATCGTCTATGATGTACTACTGTACCCCTGCTCCTTTTTGGTGCATGTTAAAAGTGGGGTGATCAGCTTGACTGTCGTATTGACGTCATCGTGTTCGTCTGCGCCGTGATATCACGCGGTCAACACTCTTGACACCCTTAACAACAATACAGACCGGTGGCAAGACAATCGCTTGGTTATTGTAATTTATATCAACCTTTTAAAGATATTTTTTGAAGCCTCCTGGTACTTTTCTTTGCTTTCCTTGTTGGCTAAGAAAAGTTAGGTGTGGCTTCTACTGCGATAAAACGATAAATGCAAGCAGGACATGAATGATACAGGTAATACTGTGGATTGGTAGGGACAGGAAACCAGCAGCTGTGTTGCAAAGAAAAAGGGCGTTACAAATATACAATAGCAATAAAGGTCTTGAAATGCAGTATTTTAACTGTGAGAGACATATCTTAACGTGAGTGGGTCTTGCTAGTCACACTCGTAATCGCCATTGGATGTCATACCTCGCCCCTCTATGGCATAAGAGAAACTCTTGTCTGAATAGACGGAAAGGTACCAACGAAAAGTACCACACGGGTCTTATAAATTTAAGCTACATATTTTTTCACATCACTGTGTGGTAAAAAACACTCCTTAGTCTGTGCTTTCCGTACCTAGCAAGGAAATAAGAATCGTCACTTGAGTTCCAAGGTGGACCAAGTCTTAAAAGGGTACCATGTAACATGCGTGGAAATTAAAGGTGCCGGTGTAAAGCTGACCAAATCACCCACCAAGTGCCGATTGGTCTATATAATATAGGTCTAGCTCTTTATGCCCAAAATGCCTAAAGGCGTGGACAAGGGTCGTTTACTTGGCCAAGAGCTATGGGGTTCGCCAGGTAGACATCTATCTTTTACATGGTTAGAGAGAGCGAGCGAGAGAGAGAGAGAGAGAGAGAGAGAGAGAGAGAAAGAAACAGACAGACAGACACAGAGAGAGAGAGAGAGAGAGAGAGAGAGAGAGAGAGAGAGAGAGAGAGAGAGAGAGAAAGTTACATGGGATACAATGCTAGTACAATTAAGGTTAACGTCAAACCAACGTTAGGGAGCTGCGTGGTCACGTAGCATGGTGTCCGCCTCTAGTGCTAGAGGTTCCGGGTTCAATCCCAGCAAGGGCTGGAATTTTTCACGTGGACTTGGACTTCTAGTAATTCTCTCAGATCTCTGGACAGTGAAATCGGACACCCGTGTGTATTGTTCTGCACGTAAAAATGTCCCTTGGCATTTGGAAATTGAAAAGAGTAGCCTAACGAGCTGGCCAGGCTAAATTTGAAGTTTAAATTCTACCCAAAGTATTTCAGGTTCCTTGCCGGCGCTACAGCGCCTGTACACAGTGCTGAGCTTCTTTGGACTCAGACTTGAGTTAGAAGAAGAACGGAGCACTTATGGGTTACTACCCGTGTACCATGATGTTGATCTGTTGTTCAAACGTCAATCTTCTCATTAACGTTAAAGATAACTAGAATACACTGACAATGTTCCACCCACAGACGATCACGATGGAAGAAGTCTACAATGGCTACCCGTTCAGTTGCCGCCTCACGTTCATCTGATCTTGTCCATGACCTCGGATGTCAAGCCTCAGTCTCTTTCAGCTGCCAGAGAGTTACTTTACGACGATAGGAGCCACTTTCTGGAGGTTGGTCAGCTTTCCATGGAAGTTGCCCTGACTATCCTAAGAGCACGGCTTAACGAGAGCAAGAGACAGCTAACAGATGAACAATGGATGATGTGTAAAGACTCTTTCAAAAAGTGCCCTTTGCCACTTTCTCTACAGGTAACGATTAATACATGTGCACATAGTAAATACAACACATGTTTCACATGCAGAGCCTTAATCTTTTATTCATCGGTTGATACAATGGAAATTTTCCTCCCCCTCTCCCAAAAACCCTGCGTCACTGATTCTATCAAACTATTTAATTTTCATTATACTGATCAAGTTAATATATGTGTTTAGCTAATTTGTTTTGTAAAGTCGTTAATGTATTTCTGCTCATTACATCAAGACATATCTGATGTTAACATTAAAACGCCAAAGTTTATTACAATTTAAAAGTTCTTCTTCCTTTGTTTACGTGAAGTAGATTGTTTATATATCAGTTCACTAGGGTTTTTTTCTTTTTCATTTGTTCAACCAGTGGTACATGCATTTCAGTTTTCATTGTTGTTCTTATAAACTAAAAGGTTAGCGTCAGTACGTAATTGTTTAGGTCCTTTGCATAACTTAACATTATTAATCACACTGCTTCCTCTGTATACGTTGGCTTCGGTATCCGTTTAACTTGGTATAGTCCTGTTAAGACGCGATAATGTTTGCTTGGTATATGATCTTTGCGTGGAATACGAACTTATATCAGTAAAAACCAACCAGGATACAGCTAGCCATCTGTGTTTATCTCTCTCGAGACAAAGCTACAGATAGATGTCATTGACTTTGCAGGAAAGTATCATCTCAAAAAATCCGAAACAAGACGTTATTACATTGTCTTGAATGACCAAATGTCCGATTTCAGAAACATTCTGAGAAATTGTTGTTGTTGTTCGTCCATCACAAGTGATGATGACCAGTCCGTTGTACCGACTGTGTCTGGGTTGGGTTTTGTGAGTGCGCTGATGGCTGACAATGCCAATTCTTGAGTAATGTGGACAGGGAATAAAAGCCTCATCTCTCTGGCGATTTGCTTCAGTGTCTTTCCTGGCTTGTCTTTTCGAAACTGCTGCTGCAGTTCTGGCAGCTTCATAGGGTGAAGCTTCTCGATGAAGAGAGAAGCTCCAGGATGAGAGGTCACATGCAGCGACTTTCCAGGTTTAAGAATCAAATACAGAAGTTTTTCTGTGAGATCTTAAGGCTGTCCTTGAAATGTGTTTTGTGTCCACATTGAGAGCGTTTTTTTTTCAATAGCTTACCATAGACAATTCTTATTAGCAGTCGTTGGTCAGGCATGCGGACTATATGACCTGCCCACCGAAGCTGTGACTGCTTTAGAATCGAGTAAATGCTGGACAGCCCAGCTGTCAACTAACTTGATTTTATGTTCAGCAACATTTTGAGGCAAACTTTATGAAAATGGTTTATCTTTTTAGCATGGGGCTGGTAGAGTCGGAAGTAAAGTTCTTTTGACACGGTTTTAGTAAAAGTCATTCCTGAAGAGCCTTAACCAGACCCAGGTAGCTCAGACAGACTTAAAAAAAAAAAAAAAAGAGGAAAAAACATTTGAACTTCAGATTCCTGAAATCTTACTGGAAAGTGACTCGCCTCTCAGATAATAACATCTCCTCCTCCTTTCTCAATTTTTTTTTCCAGGTAGGCAATCGACCTTTCTCAGGAAGGTAAAGGGAAGCTAAACTTTCATTTATTTCATCCAACTACTTTTGTTTTTATGTATTTTAGTGTTAATCAGTAAATTATTTATTGTCTACAACCCAGTCAATTTATAATATGCCAGTAACAACAGTTTGTTTATTTTTCTATGGGAACTGATTAATTATTGGCCATTTATTTCTTTTGGGCAACATTGGCAAAAGTACAGTTTGGTATACGCACAGTTTAGTATACATACTGTTTTGTATACGAACATTTTGGAATATGTACTGTTTAGTATACGTACTAGGAATTCCAAAGAAATTTGACTAAAAAGCTCAACAAAATGAGGAAGCAGAAAAACGTGCACAAAACAACACAAATAACGTAACGTTTCGGCCGGGCTTTTTAGTCAAGTTTTTCCTTGCCCGGCTGAAAGGTTACGTTATTTGCGTTGTTTTGTGCACGTTTTTCTGCTTGCCCATTTTGTTGAGCTTTTTGATCAAATTTCTCTGAAATTTCTCGTATTAGCTTGACTGCAGTCACCGCCATAATTTCACCATTTTTGGTATACGTACTGTGTGGTATACGTACTGTTTGTGTGGTATACATAATGTTTGGTAATGTTTAGGCCTATAGGGTATATAGAACTGGACCTATATTTTTATAGACCAACGGCACAAAATGGTGATGGTACTGTTTGGTATACGTCTAAAAATTAAGAACAGGTTAAGTACGTATACTGAGGTACAGCTGTATTTAGATCAGGATAATAGGTTTATGTAATCGTGTAAGATACTCTAGGGAAGGTACTCGAATAACTTATAGAGAGAACAGTTCGATGTGCAACGAGGATGACATGTCGACTAACTGACTACTTAACTAACTAATTCTATATTTTATTATAGTTTTTTTTTCAATTATATATATTTGTTCCACACTTACAAACTTTTGGTCTTTTCCTAATTGTAGATGTTGATTACCGAAGCAGTCCAATGGAGGTCATATATGACTCCATACCCAGTTAAGCTCGGGGAAACTCTCAAACAGGCCGTAACGCTCCGATTTGTTAAACTAGAACGTCATCATGGAGAGGTGTTAACTGGACGAGCTATAGGCTACATCTCAGCGTCCAGGCATGGCTTGACCACCAACGAGCTGGAAGATATTCTGTCTGCCGACGACTTGCTCATGGATGAAATCATGGCAACGTACAGATTACCACGAAGACGCTTACCGACTTTACTGTTGGCCCGTTTGCTAGAGGATATTAAGGATTTAGTTATGGAGTGTAGGACAGGTAATGTGAAAACTATACACTGGGGATATTCAGTTATAGCTGAAGCAGCAGCAGAAAGGTATCTGAACCTAAAAGAAAAAGTAATTTACTTTCACAAAAATTTGGCGGAATATTTCTCTGCAGGTTGGACTGGAAAAGCAAAGGATAATTCTGACAATTTACTAGTAAACGATAGGCCTTATAATGACAATGGGAGATGTTTCATTAGTGTGTGCAAGACTCGCAGCTTGAGTGAACTTCCTTATCATTTACTGAAATGCCAAAAGATCTCTCAACTGAAACTAGCTTCACTATGCAACTTTGAATGGATGTTAGCGCGTCTATGCGGAACATCACTGGAGTCATTGCTGGAGGACTATGAGCCTGCGCTAAGAGCAGAGCCTCGCGATTCGGAACTAAAGATTGTGATGAATGCTCTTCTGTTGTCACGGAATGCGTTAAAGAATGAGCCCCGCCAGTTAGCATCTCAGCTCATTGGACGTTTACAAAGGATAGTAACAGCAGATAATCCCAGGTCTCCTGGGGATCCAAAAGCATTTCCAATTCTACACCTACTCCTGGCCTCAGCAAAACAACCATCTATCCCATCCTTGATACCCTCAGTGGAATGTCTTTTTGAACCGGGTGGAATTACACCTGAGATATTGTCTGGGCATTTGAAAGCAGTTTCAGCCGTAACCTTGACAACTGATGGCAACCTTGCGCTGACAGGCTCTCAAGATGGAACAATCAAAGTCTGGGATGTACGTTCTGGGAAGATAATCCACTCAATACATGGCGTGACCTCAAAGGTGTGCAGTATAAGAAGCGCAATGAACAACACTCTAGTGATCACCGTGGATGGTTCAGTTATTCGAATTTGGGATATGAACTCTGGGGTTTGCGTCTTCACGATTGCCCAGTATATAGACCCTGCTCGAATTTCAATTGCAGCTGAAGGAATGATTCTTGTCGGGGTCTACGATGGATCCAACATGCTTCGATCTTGGAACCTGGATGGTTTTTCAATGCTATGTCAAACACATATACCAGATACAAGTATTCACAAGGACAATTCAATTCTCATTGCTGATTCCTCAAGAGGTGACAATATTCTTCACGCTTTTAGAAGCGGTAATTCAGCAACTGTTCAAAATGCTCGAAATGGGCGTGTCTTCAAGAAGCTACAATGCCACGAGAAGACATCATCAGTTGTAGCACTGGCAATCACCAGCGATTACCTTATCCTTTGCTGCAGACAGAAGACTGTTTCATCACAAGAAATTCACGCTTTAGAGCTTTTTGATACAGTGAAAGGAACCTACACAAGAACTGTCCGAGGTTGTGAAAATGACAACATCACGCAACTGACAACTAACTCTATGGGGAGCCATGCAATTGCATCGTCTTCGAACCTTCGGATCGGAACCTCAGATATTGCCGTGTTCAACTTAGAAACAGAGGGTCATAAACATCTGGCTCCACACTCAGGTATTAGCACCATGTGCGTTTGCTTTGACTTTCGCTGCTGTGTGACTGGTGATGCTGAAGATAAATGTTTGAGGGTTTGGAACCTCAGCCCAGTGATCAATGTGCAGGTGCCCAAGTCAAAGAAGGTGTGCGGTTTGTCGGAGATATGGCCCATGGTTGATAATCCAAGGTAATGCTATTTCTATGCATTAGTGATGTAGAATACAGAAGGTGGGACAGACTTATCGACGCATTCAGGAACCGACAGACATATATAATACAGACAAAGAGAAAACAGACAGACGACAGACAGAACAAACACAGACATTCAGACATACAGACGACAGACAGAACAAACACAGACATTCAGACACACAGGCGACAGACAGAACAAACACAGACATTCAGATATACAGACGACAGACAGAACAAACACAGACGTTCAGACATACAGACGACAGACAGAACAAACACAGACATTCAGACAAATGCTAGTTCTGACGGACAAGACTAATGACGGATCGGTCTATTGAAAGCGATCGTAGATTCGTCGTTTGAAATGAGAGACGAAATGATAAAGTGATGAAAAGCGTGTAGACAGACAGAATGACAAACAGACAGAATGACAGACAGACAGACGGGCAGATTAACATTTAGAATGACAGATGGGCCAACAGACAGACAGATCTACACTTAGACAGACAGACAGACAGACAGACAGACAGACAGACAGACAGACAGACAGACAGACAGACAGACAGACAGACAGACAGACAGACAGACAGACAGACAGACAGACAGACGGACGGACGGACGGACGGACGGACGGACGGACGGACGGACGGACGGACGGACGGACGGACGGACGGACGGACGGACGGACGGACAGACAGACAGACAGACAGACAGACAGACAGACAGACAGACAGACAGACAGACAGACAGACAGACAGGTGGGCCTACAGACAAACACATCTACACTTAGATTGACAAACAAACTGGTTGACGGAGAGACAGATATACACTTATGACAGACAGACAGACAGACAGACAGACAGACAGACAAAATGACAGGCAGACAGAATGATAGAAAGACGGGCAGGTCTACACTTAGAATGACAAATGGACCGACAAACAGACAGATCTACACTTAGACAGATGGACAGATAGACAGACATTTCTACAATTATATTGACAGACCGAGAGGTGGACCGACAAACACATCTACACTTAGACTGACAAACAGACAGGTTGACGGAGAGACACATTTACACTTATACCGTCAGACAGACGGACGGACAGACATCGTCAAGGACAGACCGGCGCTTGGAGGAGCACAACTATTAGTAGACGTCTTGCAGACGGTCAGACAGACATGCTGAATGTGATCAGATTTTCAGGAGTGCGAACAGACGGTCGGAAAGTAAGACAATATGGATAGACAGAAAACTAAGGAAAATTTAAAGTAAAGTAGATAAATGAAAGACTCATAAATTCATTTTGATATTGCGTGACTGATAACTGATTTACTGATTGAACAATCAACAACATAGCACATTGGGTATACCCAGAGATGCTCCGTTTCCCATATCAAATGCCCTAGAATTAAAGTATAGACCATTGTTTCTTAAATTTTTCTTAGTCGCGGCGCCTTTTTTCCATAAAAATTTGTCCACTGCGTCCTTACCTAAGGACAATTATAGCTATTTTTATGTAAAAAAAAAAAAAAAATTGTACAGTAATTAAATACAACTCGTGCATTTTCGCATATTTTGGCGGTGCCCCTGTAAAGAGGTCGCGGCTTTCCGGGGCGCTGCTGCGCACAGTTTGAGAATCACTGGTGTAGATGATAACTGTTCACGTAGCACACAGATACCACACACTACGTTCTTCTCCTTACACTCGTCGCTCCTTGCCTGCCTAATTTTCCCGTTTACACATTCTGGCAATGTTATGTCATCTAACCTCCTGCCTTCTATCAGTATTCGTTCAACAATGGTCTTTGGAGTGTCTTTTTTGTCCACTACGAGTGTTTCAGTAGCATTACGACCACATTTTATTGTCCATCCATGTATTGCCTCCAAGCGCCAACCTTATGAAAGCAAACAAGTGTTCGTGTTTGACACAAAATACCAATCAATGCTTTAGTATCCCATCAATTAATCATTTCAAGACTCTAGCCTGCGGATCTAAAGGTCAAGGGTTCGATTCATGACGAAGCCTGACATTTTTCAAAAATGACCTTGGCATCCAGTCAACACAGCTCCGAGTGAGAACCAGGTACAGTCCTAGGAAAGTAAAGGCGTCCGGCATGATCCTGACCACACCAAGTGGCAAATAGTCTTTAAAATGTAGGTCTAGCCCTATATAATCAATATGTCCGAAGGTCAAAAGGTCAAATTGCTTCATCGAAATAGCAGTAACAATACTAAGCCGGGTGAGAGATGAGAAAAGGATTTTGAGTAGACCAGATGTGCCAGAGATGAGAAAAGGATTTTTAGTAAACCGGGCGCGTTAGAGATGAGAAAAGGATTTTTGGTCAACCGGGTGCGCCAGAGACGAGAAAAGGATTTTTAGTAAACCGGATGCGTTAGAGAAGAGAAAAGGATTTTCAATCTACCGGATGCGTTAAAGATGAGAAAAAGATTTTTGGTCTACCGGATGCTTTAGAGATGAGAAAAGGATTTTCAGTCTATCGGATGCGTTAAAGATAAGAAAAGGATTTTTGGTCAACCGGATGCGCCAGAGATGAGAAAAGGATTTTTAGTAAACCGGAAGCGTTAGAGAAGAGAAAAGGATTTTTAATCTACCGGATGCGTTAAAGATAAGTAAAGGATTTTTGGTCAACCGGATGCGCCAGAGACGAGAAATGGATTTTTAGTAAACCAAATGCGTTAGAGATGAGAACAAGGTTTTTGGTCAACCTTCTTCTCCTTCTTTTTCTGCGTTCGACATCAGTCATGCTACACATTGAGTCCCGTCTGGGTCAAAAAAAGGATTGTGCGTTTAAGGTCTCCACCGGTCCCCCATAGCTTCTCTCGCAATGTGGATCTCCTGGGCCAGAATCACAGTCTTTGCTAGGAGAGGTTATGGCAGTACTGCAGTATGTGCTAAGGGGTCTGTCTTTCTGCTCCACAATCACAGACAGCAGATTCTTTTATGCCTATCCTGTACAGGTGTGCTCGAAGACCACAGTGTCCAATCCGAAGTCTAAAAATTGATGTTTATTCTTTCCTGTTGAGTTTGTTTATGCTGTCACTCTCTGGTCTGTAATCTCTATTCTGCTTTCTCCACTCCCGCTTGAAAGACTGCTTTAGTGCTGTTTTGGTTTCCTTGTAGCTGTGTGGTGGATGAGGTTGTGGAAGATTACTCCCAGCTTTTGCCAACTCATCTGCTCTCTCATTTCCTTGAATACCACAGTGGGCTGGTATCCACTGCAAGACCAGTTCTGCTTCCTTGGAGAGTAAGCCAATGTTGGTCCTTAGATCTGCAATTAGTTTGTCTTGTTTTTTTTTTTTTTGCTGGATAGTGCTTGGAGAACAGACAATGAGTCACTAAGTATAACAATTTTGTGCCCTCTGTGTTCTTGAGTGATGAGATGTTGGACTGCAGAAAGGAGGGCCGTTGCCTCAGCTCTGAAGTTAGTGCAGATGTCACCTGCTGGTAGAGAGAGAGAGAGAGAGAGAGAGAGAGTTTCTGCTCTACTGCTAGGGGGTTTAATGTATATTCCACAACCCACCTTTCTGACTGCATCTATAGCAGAGCCGTCGGTGAAAACCTGAGTCCAAGTGGTGTTTGGATACTTCTCATCAAGCATAGCAAGAGGCATGGTTCTCTGTTGTGTCTCTGTCTGGGCATCTTTTGAAGTTATCCTTGGTACCTTTAGAACTACATTTGCCTTCCCTGGCTTGCTTGTCCATGGTTCTGGCCTGAGTTTTTCGCACAGAGCTACATCTCTTACAAGCAGATCTTGGTGCTGTCTGTACAGTTCTCTAGCAATGTGATATGGGCTCTGACGCTTCAGTCTGTTTTTTGGTTCTCTCTTGAAATTTAAAATGCAGTGGGTGACTTTGAAGTCTTTTTAATTTCTCATACTGTAAACAAGTTTTGTATTGTCTTCTGAGTTCGAGTGGTTCAGTATCTGCTATCCTCTCTATCTCTCTGATGGGGGTGGATTTCATGGCTCCGAGAACAATCATTAATCCCATATTCTGAACCTCGTCCAGTTTTCCCACTGTTGTCTTGGCTGTTGCAGCCCATGCAGTGGAGGCATATTCCATGACTGGCCTGACTGCTCCAGTATATACTTGTTTTAGGATTCTGGAGTTAGCTCCCCATGTGGTACCCGCTAATTTTTTCATCACTGCAAGCTTCTTGAATGCTTTCCCCTGTACTGCTTCTACGTGTGACTTCCAAGTTAGTCGCGAATCACGTGTAACGCCAAGAAAGGTAGGAGTGTCAGTCTGTGGAATGAGCTGGTTTTTTCCCCCCGAATTTCGATTTTTTTTTTTTTTGGGAAAGAGGGGGGGGGGGGGGGGGGAGAAAAGTGATGCTGTGCTTTTTACATTATTTAGCTTTAGACCCCACTTTTCGGTCCAGGCTTCTACATTTTCCACAGTTTTCTGTAACAGATATGAGGCTGTGGTAGTGTATTCGTAGGCTGTCCAAACTGCAAAGTCATCAGCATGTAGGGTATTATAAACGAGCTGGTGGCAGGTTGTTGTGATATCATTTATGTAAACCAGGAACAGAGTTGGTGCTATCGCACTGCCCTGGCGAACTCCTTCACTTTGGTCAACCGGATGCGTTAGAGATGAGAAAAGGATTTTTGGTCAACAGGATGCGTTAGAGATGAGAAAAGGATTTTTAGTCAACTGGATACGGGAGAGATGAGAAAAGGATTTTTAGTAAAACGGACGCGCCAGAGATGAGAAAAGGATTTTTGTAAACCGGAAACGTTAGAGATGAGAAAAGGAATTTCAGTCAACCGGATGCGCCAGAGATGAGAAAAGGATTTTTAGTAAACCGGATGCGCTAGGTATGAGAAAAGGTTCTTTCACTTCTCAGTTAGGAGCCGCCATTGTGTAACGACTAAACGCTGGCATGCCAGTCCCAAGGTCTTGAGTGGAAATTTGCATCGAGTGGGACCTATTTCTCAAAACCGAACTTCAGGTCCAGCCAGTCTAAAATAGGTCATATTTTGACTCAAAAGGTCGTGGGCGCATTGTTTTCCCGGTGTGGGTTCTGAGGGCCCATTGTGGGGGGAAAAACAGGAACTTTCGGACTACCTACCTAACAAGCATGTCGTAAGAGTCGACTAATTATTGATGTCCTTCGAAGTCGCAGTGCATCTGCTTAAGAGGCAAGAAACGACTAGTCTGTCTACAAAAATATCAGATCTGTAAAACGGATGTACACGCAAAACTAAAATACTGGAACAAGAGTAAAGTTTAGTGGTGGTCGAACAACGGAAAATTTTCAGTTTTTAGCCGGTAAACGCGAAAAATACGAGAACCTAATGTCGACCACACCATTCACCACGTTCTGACTGATAAACTGACACCTCTTTGTCTTTCCACACGTTAGTGTTATATTGCGCTATGAGGAGGCATGGGACTCACAGTCCATGGCGATGGCGAGTGTAACTAGCAAGACTCTCCTCCGATAAGAACCCTTCCACATCCGAACATAGTTTGGACTGATCACGTTTCCGCTGCACTACTGGGGAAAAATAAAAGTTGTTCACCTCACAAGATTTTAACATTACTTTGATTAGCGAAGGGCTAGATCATGTTACAAATGAATCTCAGCTAGCGTAATGAAATCGTTTAAAGTGTCATTTTCTACTTCTTCCTCTTCCTCAGGTATGTGGTTACTAAAGCAGCCAACGACGGACCAATCAGTATATGGAACGTCACCAAAGGGAAATGCCTCCAGTCTGCAGTCAGAATAGAACGAGGCTTAACTGAGGGCACGGATGCTCTGGTCATTCGAAACACCACACTCGTTATTCTCACGGATCGAGGCTTATCGAGCGTCATCGATGACCCGCTTCCAGTTTTCAGAACTGTTCTCGTCTATGATCTTAAACTGAAGAAGTACATTAGGAAATTAGCAGGGTGCTATATTGTACCTGCACCGTCTCATGAGTACACGCTACTGGAGAGCGATAGCTTGTTGGGACTTTCTGATAACAGGTCCCATTTCATCGTTTGGAGTCTTGTGAAAGGTCATGTTGTCTTCAGGATTAAGACCGCTTTCAGGGAGATGGCCAGAGCTAAAGTTGATGGAAACATGGGTCTTGTAGATAGACCTAAGGTCAACAGACGAGCGGCCTCGAAGATTGCTGCTATGGAGATAAGAGCTCAGTCTAAGTATGAAAGATATTTTCTAATTTTCGGTAACCCTGTTAGTAAGATATTAATGCTTATGTTTATTGTTTATTCAGAGGATCAACAACACGGCACACAGGTGTAGCCCATAAGTGCTCCATTCTACTTTTAACTCAAGCCTGAGTCTGAAGGTTCTACACGCAGTGCACAAATTCTGTTGCATCAGCGAGGATCCTGAAATGCTTTCACTAAATTTGTAACTCCTAGTTTTGCCTGGGCAGCGCCGTTAGGCTACTTTTTTCGATTTCAAACTGTCCAGGTTTTTTTTAACGTGCCTATCAATACACACGGGCATTCGGTCTTAGTACCCAGAGACCAGGGACAATTACTATAAATCCACGTGAAACAAATCACAACTTTCATCGTAGCTTGAACCTAGGACCTCCAGAACTCAAGGCGGATGCCATACATCCAGCCAGACCACTCAGCCCCTTAGTTTGATTTGATTCCAGCATGTGTTGCCTGTTTTGGTTTTACTTGACAATTATACATTGTTAATTTGCCGTCATTGATGCAATGTGGCAATGGAGACCGCTTTGGCTTAGTGGCTGGACTCACGATAGTGGATCCAAAGAACGTGGGTTCCAGTCCTAACAGAGCCGAACATTCTTTGAAAATTATCTCAGCTCCCAGGTCGACCCAGCCTTGAAAAGGGTACCAAGTAAGGTCCTGTGAAGTAAACTCGGCTGCCATGAGGTCACTCACATCACCCACTGAGTGCTCATTGGTCTAAGATAGAGGTTAGCCCTACATGTTCAATATTCGTAGGTATGAACGAGGGGTCCTTTACCTTTTCCCAAGGTGATATGTTGTCACATCGCCCGCAGCTGGAATCGAACCAGGTCCCACAGAATTAATAAGAGTGTTCGCAACTCCTCTGCCACAAACACTGTCAACAGTAAAGGTAGGAAAAGCAAAGGTATACAAAAGCATACATGCCAGTGATCGTCGGGCTTATGAGCTAGACACGAAGATTCACGCAACAATCGTTCCTCGAGTGGTTATGTGGTCAGCATCACGTCGGCTGCCTTTCCTTCCCAGGACTTAACATGGAACCTATGTAAAAATGGGTCGACATCGTCGCCACCTACGTGTGTGTGTGTGGGGGGGGGGGGGGGGGGGCAAACTTCATGGATTTAAACCGACAATCTTTAGATTCACAGGAGAGCGTCTAGTCAATACACGACTGTGACTCCCACAGTAAAGGTAGACCGGTATAAATCAAGACTCCAGTTATTCAAAGACATATAAAGTCATCTAAATACGGACCTAGATACGTCAGACAAAGTAATGTAAATACAGACCTGGATAGGACAAAAAAAGTAATGTAAATACAAACCTGGATAAGACAAAGTAATGTAAATACAGACCTAGAAAAGACAGATAAAGTAATGTTAATACAATCCTAGACAAGACAAACACAGTTTTGTAAGTACAAATCTCGATAAGACAGACAAACGTAATGTAAAAAGGCATGGATAAGACAAAGTAATGTGAATGCAAACCTGGATAGGACAAATAAATTAATGTAAATGCAGACCTGGGTAAGACAGAAAATGTACTGTAAATACAGACCTAGATAAGTCAGATAAAGTAATGTGAATACAGAACAAGATAAAACAGATAAATTAATGAGAATACAGACCTGGATAAGAGAGATCAAGTAATGTAAATAGAGACCTAGAAAAGACAGAATAATTATTGCAAATACAAACCTGGTTACGACAGACAAAGTAATGTAAATTCAGACCTGGATAGGACAAAGTAATGTAAATTACGTAAGTTGAGTGATGCTAAAGATTCAAGTAAAGCCATGTAAATCCAAATCATGTTGCTATTGATACAAAAAATTGTAAAGAAACTAAATGCTAGTGTAATATAAAACAAGTCTCTAATGCTACTGAGAGAGCTGCCGTGGTGTAGTGGCTCGATAGTGGGAGGTCTTGGAAAGTAAAAGCTGCCGGTGGGATGTTGACCAAATCACACACGGAGTGCCGAATGGTCTATACAATTTAGGTCTATCCCTATATACACAATATGAATGAACACGTTAAAAGGGTCATTCGCTTTACTTACTGATGCTATCGATGCAAGTAAGAAACCTAAAATATAATGCTAAAGATTCAAGTAATGTAAATAGAATCCTGTTGCTAGAGATACAACTAAAGTACAATGAATCCGAAACTTGTTGCTATCCTTATCATGTGCCCTGCCAACTGGCGCAGTCGCTCATGCGTCTCCACAGATCACGATCCCTGGTTGCATGGAACAGGTCTCTTGATATCCCTCTGTGCCATCGTTTCAGCCCATCTATCATCGTCTCTCTTGGTCTGCCTCTACCACTTTTTCCACTGATCTTTCAGGTTGTCACAATGTTCTCCAATGTCTCTCTTTTCATTGCGCGGCCAAAGAACAGTATCTGTCTCTTTCTTCTTCTACTCATGGCTTCTGGATACTAAAACAAACAACAACAAACTTTCTTCTTCTTGTATAAAGAGACCTACTTTCATTAGCTTTTGTCAAGCAATCGTTGTTAGTTACTCTGGCGATCCTGTTGCTACAGGTAAGAATTTAGTAAAGGTAACATTGAAGTTACATTCGAGAGGATCGACAACATCGCATCCTGTTATCCCACATAGCTCGGTCTCTGTAAGCAAACGACTAGGCGCCTGCCGAGGGCATCACACAAAGCGAAATCCTTAGGACTTCCGTTAACACATTTACTCTTTAACTCAACGACCTTTTCTTGATTCGAACCCATGACATTCAGAGATCCATAAAAACGGCTTGACAACTTTGCCAAGGAGTCCCTAGCAACAAACACATTGTGAAAGTAAATGCTATCCTCCGATGCCATGAGTTGAGCTTCATAGATGCTGTTATTTGATAGGTAAAGATCCCTTTCACGCCTTGGGTGCATCTGGCATATGGGAGTAGCGCCCCATATTTTTACAGACCTATCGGCACTAGGTGGGTAATGTGGTCAGCATTACGTCGGCCCTGTTCCTGGATGCCATGGATGAAGTATCTTAAATGCTGTTCTTTGATACCATTGGTTAGGCATCATACTTGATGTTCTTTGATGCCGTGTGTTAAGTATCATAAATACTGTTCTTTGATGCCGTGTGTTAAGTATCATAAATGCTGTTCTTTGATGCTATTAGTAATCTAAACATCTGAAAGAACAAGTTTTCTCCCTCCATATTTACATATGATGAACATCTCAAGGATGTCCCTCAAAGTCGGAGTACATCTGCCGGTGAGGCAGGTAAAGGAAAACAAATAAGTCAGTAAAACGGATGCACACGCAAGGCTCAGGTCCAGGTAAAAGTCAGAAAGTCTAAATTGGCAATCTACCGGGACCTTCCGCAGGAATTTACAGCCAGCGAACGGGAAGAAGAAAATGATCTCATAGATGAGATTCAAAAAGCTACAAATCCCTGAAACCCCTTTCAACTGTACAACCATTTAGCAGAATTATACTGGGGCACCACAGAACGGCTACACAGTAACCTATAAGCCAGTATAAGTATGTTGTTACAATACTGTATAATACGTAAGACGTTATAACTTATTCTTGCCAGATCTGCTCGTAATGTGAAAGAAGACAGCAAATCAGCGAGGCGACGACTTGAAGAGTTAGGCCCAGAGAAGGAGAATGCAATCGATCAGTTTCTAGTGAGTGGCGACGAGAAAACCATCGTTGCCTCATTCTACGCCCATCACTTGTGTGTCTTTGACATCCCGACACACACCCACACACAAACTCTGCAGACAGACTACTCCATGATGCTTCTCCACACAGCTGCTTTGACTTTTGGAGGCACCCACCTAGTCCATGCCAATTATGACGAAGTTCGGAAGGCTAGCTACATTACAATGTGGGATTGTGTCACAGGAGAGGTTAAGCGACGTCTCAAGGGAGAAACTGAAGTATGCGTTGTTGGAATCACTGATGATGCTCAAAGAGTTGTCATTGGGCGAGCACCTGGTGAACTTCATATATGGGACCCAATGCAGTCCCACTCCCTGAAACGAATCCGGGGGTACCCAGGTTTCAAGTTTCAAGCGAACAGCAGACTAATTTTAACAGAAAGTGGAGACAAAGCGATTGTGTTTTCTGGGGACATAACCGTATGGGATTTAATGCACAAAAACGTACAAGCTGTGTTCACACCTGATTCACGTATTTCTGTATGTAAAGTGATTCTAAACGGTAAACTGATTCTGATTGGGCTGTGTGACAAACCAGAGCTTGTGGTACTGAAGCTAGCGTCTCGTGATCTGACACACGTTGAAGACACCGGCGGAGTGGAGCTTTTTGGGGAAACTACAGGGGATACTTCTGAGGAGGAGAATAGCGATGAACTTGATAATGAAACTGACAATTAAGTCTTATAAACTTCCGTTTTGAGTTGCCCAATAATGTAAACATTTCATCCTCATCATCGTAACGTAGTTTAAACGCAGATTAATCCTTTATTCCGTCCATTCTAATGTAATAATGTCGGTATCGTAGCTAGAATCCAATGGTGTCTCTCATCAACATTCGTAACAGAGATACTCATGAACGTCCCCAGTCAGTTCAGTCTGTTTGTTTCTCATTTCAGTGCCCGTCAGTGACTCCTGAACTTGCTCGTCTTCTCAGTCAGTTTGTTCTCATTTCAGTGCCCGTCAGTGACTCTTGGATGTCCTTGTCTTCTTAGTTTGTTCTCATTTCAGTGCCCGTCAGTGAATCTATGATCGCTTTTTCTCATGATGTGCCAAATATTTTGACATCTTCTTTGTCGTATACGGGTTTAAGGTCTTTGGCCCTGGACTTTTTTCTCCAGTATGGTTTTTGAAATAATGTTAGGTATTTTAATGTCCACATTCCATGTACCAACATATAAATATGTAAACAGGAAAGATTACACGTAACAGCACTGGCTGTTTAAAATCAAAAGATGGTGACTTATTAATGGGACAAAGTAATATAATTAGCATATGGACAGAGTATATAGGGGAACTGTGTGATGATAATAGACCAGATGTAGAACTGCAGACCAACAATGATGGTCCACCAACAAAGACTGCAGAAGTTAAGGATGCAATACATCATATGAAGAAAGGAAAAGCACCCGGGCCAGACAACGTCTCACTTGAAGAAATCGAAGCACTGGGAGATTTTGGAACTGAAAAAATAACTAAACTTTTAAATATTTATAATAGTGGGTATATTCCCAATGACCTTTTAAAATCCATATTTATACCTCTGCCAAAGAAACCATGCACTTTAAAATGTGAAGACCATCGCACAATAAGTCTTATGGGTCACATGACTAGGATTTTACTGAGAATAATTATGAGAAGAATAAGAAACAAAGTGAAATCAGAAATCAGCGATGAACAATGTGGATTTGTTGAAGGAAAAGGTACAAACAATGCCATATACATCCTAAGGACATTGTCAGAAAGAGCTATAGAAGTAAAGACTGATTTGTACTTATGCTTCATAGACTATACAAAAGCATTTGACTGTGTGAAGCATGAAGAAGTAATCAAACTGTTAGAAAAATAAAACATTTATGGGAAAGATCTACTAATAATAAAGAATATGTATTGGCAGCAAACAGCAGCTATAAGAATTAACAACTGTTTAGGTACATTTTAAAGCATAAAGAGGGGCTTACGACAAGGATGTGTACTGTCACCTGATTTGTTTTCAATATACAGTGAATATATAATGAGATCTTAATTCATATGCCCGCAATTGTGGCTGGTGGACACAATATAAACAGTTTACATTATGCTGATGACACAGTCTTGATAGCAACAAGTCAGAAAGAACTACAGGAAATGATAGACATTGTGGTGTCAGAAAGTGGAAGAATGTGCCTCAGTTTGAATAATGGAAAGACAAAAGTAATGGTGGTATCAAAGAAACGAATTATTCCTAAATGTGTAATAAAAGTAGATGGTGTTATTATAGGACAAGTACAGAAATTTAAGTATCTGGGCACATGGATAACATCAGATGGAAGATGCATAACTGAGATAAGAAACAGAATAGGACAGACAAAAACTACATTTTATAAAATCAAGAACATCTTGTGCAATATATACTTGTCATTGAGAGATAGAAAAAGAATTCTTATTTGCTACATGCATTCAGTTTTAACTTATGGCTGTGAGTCCTAGACAGTCGTAGGCAGGCCAAACCATTTCTAGAGGCCTCAGAGATGTCGTTTTACAGAAGAATGCTTAGAATACGTTGGACAGCCAAAAAAGAGCAACCAATAGGTTTTGAAAGAGGCGGGAGCCCAAAGACAACTTATCACAGACAACAGAAGGAGACAGTCATTATTTTTCGGCCATGTTATGAGAAGAGGAAAAATAGAATATGTTGTGACCACTGGAAAGATCTGTGAAAGGAGGGATAGAGGAAGACAACCAGAGAAGATGCTTGACAGTCTTGTTGCATGGCATGGAGGTGTGTCGGCACATGAACTAAAATAGTTGCAGGAGATTGCTGATTATACAGAGGCAATATCGCCCAGGCCAGTCGGCAGGCACTTGATGATGATTATTTTAATGTCGGGGAGTCGTCGTGACGGATGGGAAGGTCGTGGGTTCGCTCCCTGGCGGAGCCGGAATTTTTTCAAAAATGACTTTGGCTCCCAGGTCGACCCAGCCTCGAGTAGGTACCGGGTGCAGTCCCGCGAAGTATGGGAGGCCGGCGTGATGCTGACCACATCACCCATCTTGTGCCGATTGGTCTTTAAAATATAGGTATAGCCCTATATACCGCACACACCTTAAGGGGTGGAAAAGAGTCCTTTACTTTAGAAAAAAAATTTTTTTTTACTTTTTTTTTTTTTAATGTCGCTAACGTATTTTTATTGTGCCTTTTATCTTTTTTTCCATTCTGTAACTATCTTTTCATTGGTAGTCTCTCTTGAACATCTGTATTTTTTTCCTTTTTCCTCATGAAATACTGCATATTTTTCTGTATATCCACGTTAATTTCGAGTTTCTAATAGCTTGTTCATTGTCGAGTTTTTTGCACCAGAAAGCAGGGTCAAACATAGATAACATTTGACGATTCTCACTTTCAATGTTTTCTTTATCGCTCCCCAGCTGCCAGTAATTGTCTTATTAAAGACAGTTTTAGCCATTGATGTTCTCTTTTTGATTTGTTTTACTGTTGCAGTCATCTACAGACTAATGCAGTGTAAATGCCATTTTAACAGAGTGTAGTATGTTAAGCAAGTCGCCATGGTCTAGCGACTAGAAGCTTGCCTCTGATCGGAAAATCGTGGTTTCGTCTACTGACTTTTTAAAAATGACCTTAGCTCCCAGGTCGACTTAGCTTTGAGTGCGTACCAGGTACAGTCGTGGAAAGTAATGGCGGTCGGCGTAGTGCTGACCACATCACCTGTCAAGTGCAGTTGGTCTATAAAATGTAGGTAAAGTCCTATATACCCAATAGGCCTGAAAAGCGTTGAAAAGGGTCCTTTGCATTTTACTTTTATAGTAGGTAAGGCACATTATGTGTTTATTACAATTGTCATGATTTATTTATTTTTAAAATAAAATAAAAAAAAAAAACAAATAACTATTATTTAGTAATTGCGTATAATTTCAGCGTTTGCAGTTAATTTTTGTTTCCGATCCTCTTTATTATTATTATGCATTTAAACATGTATGATTTAAATCATATATGAAAGGAATATATGAGGTAATAAGGACAGAACGTTGACGACTCCTAATGTTTTGAAGAAAAAAAAGTTGATTCTTTCGCTCATTCAATCCTTCATTCTGTTCAGTCATTTCGATGTAGTTTCGATATAATGGATGGCATCCAATCCAGCAGATTTGGCCTCTCTCATCGACATTCGTTTTATTGTTTCTTTTTGGATTATCGTTTCCACAATCAGATTGTCTCATAATTTCAGTGACTGTTTAGTTTTCTTCTGTTTTCGTCTCTTTTCTGGAGGTTCCAGATATAATGCCCTCTTCTGTCTTATAAATTATCGGTTAGGATAACGCAAATCTCCCCAAATAGAGTAGGTCACATTTTATTCACAATTTTGTTGTTGTCTTGCATTTACGTTTTCCTTTAGAAAGAGAATGCCTGTGACAAAGGTTGCAGCACTCTCTAGGAAGGTTGTTTTAGGGTCAGTTGCTCCATGTATTTGGAGCGTTAAAAGCACTGGCATACTGAAATTTACAACGTTATTGCGAAACTTCCCTCTGACCTTGTGCTAAGTTCACGGGGTGCATGAACTACCAGTCAGAAATGACCTAGTGTGTATACAGGCGGGGCATGTGGAGATTGAAATTACGTGTTCCAATTTACCTTATTTATTCCCCTTACTTGAATTCATCCCATTTAATTATTTGTTGCACCTAACGCACTATTAAGCCATACATATGTCTGATTTCCTTGTACAATAATAAAACAGCAAATAAGACTTCTCTGTTACAAACAGATAAAGAAGTTCATACATAAATACACAATCATGATTGCGGACTCTGAAAATAGAAAATTAAAGACCAGAGAGCGAGCGAAACAAGCATTAATCTGTCAGGACGTTAAAGTCAGTATTACCCCGGTATATGGTCGTAAAGAGAGAATAACATTCGATGAACGCAGCAATTTATAAACAGGGCGCCGCTGACTAGTACTCCACTAAGGAAACCGTAGACAACTTTAGTAGGAATCAGAGGCGTCGCTTTGACAAGTAGTTCTTATTGGGTTCTGTAACGCACGCACATTGTAAATGAGTTCTGTCCAGTTCAGTACAGTTTTCAGTCGCAAATAGGACTCAGTGTATCCTATCGATCGCTAATGACATAAGACAGAGAAAACAGTGGGGTGATTTTGGAAGAGTTCATCCCAATGCTAAGGATGAGACAATTGTGGGGAAACATAACACACGGTACCGTACGAGAGGTACGTAGTAACGGTCATGCAGGGATGTCAAATGCTGAATTAGGAATCAACATGATAGCACTCGGGACACTCCCATAAGCCTTCCGTTGCCATCTCCAGCAGCAAACAAAGAGTTCCAAATCTGATGGTACCAGTAACTGTCCCGAGTGTTGAGCGTCGGTCAAATTCCCTGGTAAGCCACGCAGGAGATCTATGAGTTATGAGTTATGAATTATGAGTTAGATTATCTTCACAGCACTCCGGACACATTCATAGGCGCTCAGATTCCCCTCTCAACATGTTCATCAGCGTCGTGCGGTTAATAGTACAAGTCCTATGTTGGTTAACAAGACTTAGTTTACGTCCAGTGTACTTCTCATGCTTGGCTGTGCCGATCTTTACTCCCAATTCACGTATTCTTAGAAGTGATGTGGACACGTTGCTTCCAAAATCCTCAGAGCGTCCTATCTCTCTA